ACAATTTCCAATTAAATTTTTTTTCTAGCTGTTTTTAAATTGTTTTCCACTTGCAATATAGTTGGATTTACTAAGACACTATTAAAACACTTACTATTATTACGTTACTAGACATTTCTGGACTTAGAGGAAAAAGTACTCCCCCCCCCGATAACGCTAAAGAACCAATTCCCGAAAAGTGCTTCTCCTCGCCGCTTTCGTCGCTCGCTTCGACCGCTAATCAAATATATCAATCGACCGCGCGCTTGGAAGTGCGTTTCAAAAACCGGATCGTTTTCTCCTGAGAGACTAGGGGGTTTGCATGCCAGCCATTCATTTCCGCGACACGATGATCACTTTTGAGGAGCAGCTGACTAATCATGCGTGTTTTCGAGGGGGGATTTTGGCGCTCTTGCCTTGGCTACAACGCGGTCACTTTTATGTCGTGCTCAAGGGGTTGATCTCCGGGTTTTTCTAGGCATACGCGGGCTCTAGCTAAGTTTTTAGACTTTAATTTGCTGCTCTGTGAGGATTAGTAGGTTCTATATAGATCTAAAGAAATTCTAGATAATTTTAACTAACAATAGAAATAGGGTACACTTTTTCTTTTAGTTTTTATATCCACCTAGGGTTAAATTTGAACGCCCTAAACTTTTTTTGAACATTTTTGGGGACAATTCGTTTGATTCTTTGCATTTTGTGAACTTGATGGCCATCTACTTTGTGCCTTACTCCAGCTACTTCTGGATCTTTTTCTAGGCATACAAAATGGTTTTTTCTTCACGCACGCCTTTCTTAGTTTTCAAGACGTGGTAGAAAATTCCATCAACGTTTATCGAGTGATTTTGAACGTTTTGGAGTTGATTCCTGGTTTGCCTAAGTGATCAAACCCCTTTTTTTATTCCGTATTCTTCTTGTTTTCCTCTTTTCTCTGATTCTAGGTTTTTTCGCATTATCGGGGGGCAGGGGGAGAAAATTTTTTCTTAGGAACCAAACTTTTAGATATAAATAGCAGAAGCGTGAACTATTTTACTATTCCTAAACGTAAAAACGTTACACATTTCTATTAAAAATGACATTCCGACCAAAAATGGCCGATTTTTTACCCAAAGTTCGACTTTTAAAAGATTTTTCCAAGGTTTTTAGATAGTTTTTTAGTTGAAATACAAAAAAAAAATTATGAAAATACTTCCTATGAAGCTGCTAGGGATTTCTAGACTCACAAAAACTATTCCTTCCCCCCCGTAATGCGAAAAACTTGATTTTATTAGTGTTAGTAGGAGAATAGTAATTTCTAAATATTTAACCGGATTTCTTGGGGTGCATCTCGCATTCCCAGCGCTTGCGACCCGCCAATTTACCCCTTAGAAACCCTTCCAGTTTCGCCAAGTTCCCGCCAAGGATGAAAGTGCCCCCCTAGATGTTGATGGCACCGTAGCACTCTCCCAAAAAAAAGCCACTAAACCAAGGAGAAGCCTCTCCACACCCGCCTCCCTCTAAAAGCCTAAGCCGCCTCCCGTTTCAACGTATGCTGCCGTTGCCTGCCGTAGTCGTTGGTTGTGTGTGTGGTGTGGAGAGCGTGAAGATTCACCTTGAAGTGCCGCCCTCGTTGCAGATCACAATCTGCTGCGCCGCGCACAACGGGTTCTCTCTAGCTGGAGAGGACAGGAAACAACCATTGCGTCTTCTATCCCCCCGAGGGGCTTGACGCGGCAGGCCGCAGCAAAATTTTTTTGCGGATTCAATCCAATTTCTCGGGCATTGTCTTCTCGGCGTTGCGTGTGTGTGTCTTCTCACCATCTCTGACTTGCTCTAGGTGGCGCGGGTTTAACGGGGCGATGCCTAATTTTTTGGTTCTGGACTGTTAGCGGGGGGGGGGGATTTTTAGCAGGGGAACCACTTTTTGTTTTCGACCTATACCTATTGATATATTCTGTATTTTTGTAGTGTTTTTAGTAGTTTTGGGTTGTTAGAAAGTTATAAAACGTTGTTTTTAATTTTGAAAATTCGAATATTTTTGCCCTTTTTGGTCATTTTTCTTCAATTGTGACCAAAAATTCACAAATTTTCGAAAATTTTTATTGGTTTTTAATATTAATTTTAGATCTAAAACTATGTAAAATTCTCGAAAATGGTTTCAGTTTTTTTAGGACCGTATAACACAGGGAAAAATTTGGATCCCCCGCTAACGGCCCAGGACCGATTGTTTTACGTGCTTTTCTTTCTTCGCTTACAAGTTTACATAGTTAATTTTGGCGTTAATAGTACTTAGAACTTTTTTTAGGAAATTTTCATAATCGTGGTCCAGGTTGAAACCTCCAAAACACCCAAAAGGATCTCTGCTAGCTGGCCTGTTCCCCCAGGGCTTGACGCGCCCGAGGCGAGCAGCAAATTTTTTTGCGGATTCAATCCAATTTCTTGGGCATTGTCTTCTCGGCGTTGCGTGTGTGTGTCTCTTCTTGCCATCTTTGACTTGCCCTAGATGACCTCATGAACCGGTTGCGCCGGTTGGTGAGGTAGTGAAGTATTGTCTTTGCAGACCTTGACTTTTCTTGAGCTCCTGCAAATTCTTCCCATTCTCCTCTTTCTTCTTCTTCTCAAATGTTACCTGTGGTCGTGGCTTTTTATTAGCTCTCTGCCGCTGCAGAACTTCCTCGATCTGGTAGATTTTAGCTTAAATATTTCTCTTTGTAGAACTGTGTGATTTTAGAAGTTTTAGATAAATATGCGAGGACACTCGCAAATTATGCTATCTCTGCGCTTGGCAAAGCCTGCGGATACGTTCTTGCCTTGCGTTTTGACTGAATTCCCCGGCGTTTTAATAATTAACAAATTAAAATGGGCTAGAATTCATTCTCTATTTGCTTTTGAATTTTAGAGCTTATTTTTTACAATTCCACAAGGCCGCCTGCTAGCTTGCCTGTGAGAAAATACCATGAATCGACTTTTTGGGAACTCCCTGACGGCTTCTGCTATTTTTCCTGATTTCTTCGGAAAGTTGGTTCTTTCCTGACCCTTTTCACTGGATTTTCGGTACAGTTCCTCAAAAATCACCGCTAGCTTGCCCTTGCCTTACCTTGCTTACTGTATTTTTTTGTTTCTCGCTTCCTAAAAGATCTCTGCTAGTTGACCCGGCCGTTTGCTGGGTTTCTTTCTTATAACTTGAAACGAAATGCCGATCTCTAACACTTGAGAAGCACGTCAAGCTCCTTTTTTAGCCGGCACACACGCTTAGCACCCCCCGGTCCGGACTTCAAAGCCGCCCCTAGAGATTTGCATAACTGGCCGGGGGAAGCCGATCATCCTCTCCCCTGACCTCGCCCTCCACCTCCTCCTCCTCCTCCTCCTTCTCCACCTCTTGCTCACCCGGTTCGCTCAAATCCCATTCAACCGAAGCATCCTCTTCCTTCGATCGCACAGAGTCAGCAGGGGCAGGGGAGGGGGAGCCTCGGGGGGAAAACAGCCGCCCGGTTTCGGGCTCGGGAGGATAGATTCTGGTACTGGTTCCGGAGGACCGTTCACCACTTATACCCGCTGAATCTTGACTCTGTTATCGATTTATTTGGACTTAGTGAAGGGCAGGCTAGCAGAGGTTCTTTAGTAAAGGGGCAAGCCAGCAGAGGTTGTTTAGGAACGAACGGAATAGCAGAAATTCTGGAGGAAGAGGAACTAGCTGAGATTATTTAGGAATGGGGAGGCTAACAGAGATTCTTTAGGAAACGGCAGTTTAGCAGATATTCTTTAGGACGGGGGTTCTTTTGCATTATCGGGGGGGGGGGATTTTCTTTTCTTAGGAACCAAATTGACATTTTTTTTCTTAGGAATTTCTTAAATATAAATGGCGGAAGTGTAGGAGGCCAGCAGAGATTTTTTAGGAAAGCGCAGGCTAGCAGAGATTCTTTAGGAAAGGGCAGGCTAGCAGAGATTCTTTAGGAAAGGGCAGGCTAGCAGAGATTCTTTAGGAAAGGGCAGGCTAGCAGAAAATCTTTGGGAAATTCCAGGGTAGCGGGGGTTTTTTAGGAAATGGGAAACTAGCAGGGCTTCTTTAGGAAAGGTCGGCCTAGCAGAGATTCTTTAGGAAACGGGGAGGCTAGCAGATATTCAGAAAAGGCTAGCAGAGATTGTTTAGGAAATTCCAGGGCGGCGGGGGATTTTTTACGAAATGAAAAGGTAGCAGAGAATTTTTAGAAACTGGCCGCTAGCAGATATTCTTTAGGAATTCTTTAGGACTGGGTGGCTAACAGATTTTCTAAATTCTTTAGGCTTGGACTGACGACCTCAAGCAGTAATGAAGTTCAAGATTTATCGTTCTACCTGTTGGCAGCGCTACCTCATCCTATCGTACTTTCTCCAAAAACCGGTCTCTGCACCCGACTTCCTCCGTTTTATTGTCCCCCTTAATGGCCACAGTAAGAAATTTGGCAAGGGCCGAAATGGTCGAATTTCCTCCTCGTCCTCCACCTCGAGCTCCTCTCCGCGCACCCAAAAAGCCGCCCCATCGACTGGGATTTATGGCGCCCCCGGTCTCACGTTTTTTGCAACGGGATCGGCCCCGGTATGCCGGTATTGCGGGTTTCTTGATCTCTCTCTCTCTCTCTCTCTCTCTCTCTCTCTCTCTCTCGCTCTCTCTCTCTCTCTCGCCTCAGGCATTCCCCTAAAAAGTTGGAAGTCTAGCGGCTATTTATCCGGCGCCGGGCGAGCACGAAGGTTCACTTTCTTTGGCACCTGGAGGTGGGATTCTGTCATTTTGAGCTGATGCTCCGGACTTCTGGTCTCTTGAAACTCTTGAGCTTCATCTGGCTTCAACCTTGAAGATCAGCTCGCCACCTTCAGCAAGTTCAAAATTCTTTTCGTGATCCACCGTTAAAGCCTGGAATCTGGCGTCGTGATTTCCATATGATCTGTTCGCGTTTGCTTGGCTAGGCTGCAATTCTGAAGTCGGGCTTTGCTCGAGTTGACTTCGAATCTTACCAAAATGTCTTCAAAAGCAAGCGTCGCCTTCTAATTCCGCTTTTCCAGCGATGGGATACACGCCGTCGATGCGGGATCGATGCCTCGGAGGACGGATGCACGTTCGAGTACGTTTTTTGACGATTTATTAAAAATTAAACGAACTGACCAGGCAGACTTATGGAAATTGTCGGCGGAATATCGAATCTCTTTAAAAAGCTTTTAGCATTTTTAACTACGTTTGCGTAGAAAAACTTTCAAAAAATGTGGAAAAATCCTTGAAAAAGTCGAAATTTGGTAAATTTTGGACGAAAAAATTGTTTTTGTACCTAAAATTTAATGTTTGTTAGAATGCTTGTGCTGAGAATTCATTAAAATCATGTGAAAACATGGCCGCCCTCCATAACCTTTAGGCTGGCACCACAAAAAAAGTGTAGTGCGAAACTCAAAAAATCCTTAATCCTTGCCGGGCCCTTTAAATATGCATTTTCAACGAAAAATCCATTTTTTTTAGACAGCGATGCGCCTGTTCGTCATCGTCGGTATCTGCGCCATCCTCGCCCTGGCCGCCGTGCTGTACGTCAAGTTCAGAAAGGTTGGTTGTGGTGGCTGAATAATCATTGATCTCTGTTATTTCAGGCCTCGTTCGTGCTGCTCATCCCGAGCTCGGTGGTCGGGCTGACGATCGCGGCGCTGCTCACCGAACGTCACCGATTTGTCTGGCCGATCATCGTCCAATCGGTGGGTCGAATTTCTCATTTTTGAGCCGGACTTCTTGAACATGTTGCGATCACGTGGCGCCTGGTGTTCTCTAGCGATCACTAGCGATATGTTCACGGAGTTCACGCTGTTCGTAAAAATGTGGTAAAAATTTTTAAATAAATTTGTGTTTTTCAGTGTTTCCACGTTGGGCTGTCGGTGTACGCGCTGCTCATCTTCTCCTTCTACTTCTTCATCAAGCCCCTCTACATCCTGATGATCACCAACTGGATGTTTAAAAGTTGGTTTTTCGGGAATTTTTCCTCTCTCTCACTCTCTCACTCTCTCTCTCTCTCTCTCTCTCTCTCTCTCTCTCTCTCTCTCTCTCTCGCTCACTATAACCCCCTTTTCCAGCAATGTACTCGGAGAAGAACGCGGTGTTCTACGGTGAGAGCACCGCCATCTACGCCGCCCTGTTCACCTTCCTCGGCTACAACTTGTGGCAGGCCCGCGTCTCGTTCGCCTACCGCAACCACCTCCTCCGCAACGCCAACTTCGCCACGCCCAGCCAGAAGCCGACGGTGGTCGTCGTCAACAAGCCGGTAGAGTACGTTTCTACGCATTATTAATTTTTAAATTTCCCACCCCGATTACTTTAAAATGACGTAAAAGTTGCACACATTTTCGCCAGGTACACGACGAAGTGTGCAGGTTATTCTAGGCAAAATGAATCTCGTAGAGTTTTTTACCGGGGAGTTTTTCAAAATTGTTTAATTCTACGCGATTCGGCTTAATTTATTGTATTTAATTTATTCAGTTATTGAACTTATTGTAAGGCGAAATTACAGCAAGGTGGGGCATTAGTTTTTAGTGGGAAACTCGGAAAATATTTTTAAAGAAAGCCAATAAGCTGTAATTTAGCTTTTCCCCTCTCTCTTCCATTCTCCCTCTCTCCCTCTCCCCCAATAAGCGATCCTCGGTGCCAAGCTTTACAGTGCATTTCCGGGCCGAAATCTTCCACAAACTTCCCTTCTTTGCCCCACTAATTTATCTCCTCCCCTTCCCCCCTTATCTTTCCCTTGAAAACGTCTTTCAAAAAACATTAAATATTACGTGTGCACGATGGGGACCACCCTGGTGATGTTGTGGATCGACCAGAGTATGGTAGATCACCTCCAGGGCTCCCCAGAAGACTTCACTAAAATGTCGAGATCACTTTAGTGCATCATTGAGAATACTGAAAATTATGTGGAATAAATGGATTATTCATTCTGGTTCCATCTATTAATGCATCGATTATTCATTCTGGTTTCTTCCTCAAAATCCTTAGATTTTCAAAAATTCCTTAGATTTTCAAAAATCCTCGGAAAGAAACTGAATTCATACTCCCACCACCATCCCCAACCACCAACCCCCCGATTTTTTCCCGAGGTATCATTTCGGGGTGGTCCAGGAGGGGGACGAGTTGGAAAAGGTCGGAAAACATTCGCAGAACCCTCAAAGATTTTTGAACTTGCTTTGCGAAATACTTTGTGAAAAATTTGGAGTCCGGGGCCTGGGAAGTTCTGGCGGGCCGGAGGGCGCGTGGTTTCTTGGTATGCCCCTAAAGTCATTAGTGCGTATGTTGCATCCCTCTCTCGGGGGGCTGTATAAATTAATTCATTCGTCAGCTAACAGGGGGGAAATACGCGAGCTCTTCGGTAAAGGGGGGTAAATGCACGGGAGATTAGGGGGGGAGGGCCCGTCCACAGCGGACATCTATCAACAACCACAACAAAACCGGAAGATATGGTGGAGGGCGGGCGGGGAGGAAGAAGAAGACGAAGACGTGCAAAGGAGATGAACACCTCGTAAACAGGGCGCGGGGGGAGGGGGAAGTAAAGATGGGGGAAATTATTCTAATGCGTTGAGATCAACAAGACCGAGAGAAACAAACAGAGACACACACACAAACACGAGTGGTAAAAGCCTATCACATGTGTCGAACAACAGGGAAGCCGACTATTGACACGATAATCAATGGTAGATGGTAGTAGTAATGGCTTGGTCAGGAGCCGGAAGTGATGTGGCTGCTCACGGGGGCGGCATATTCGGGTCGAAGAACGGCGACGCCATCGGGTAGAGTCTTCGCAGCAGCTCACGGCATTCTGGCACGTCGAATACCTCAAAATATAAAAGTTAAGGTGAGGTTGAAAATCGCCTACCATCTTCACGACGCTCCTGAACGCGTTGACGCTCTTCTGGAAGAGTTGCGGCGGGCGTTCTTTGGCCTGAAAGAAAATGGATATTTAAAGGGAATGGCAAAGATGCCTGGATCTATAGATTTTATCGGCTATGAATCGATATCGTAATCGATTACGCAATAAAAAACGAGCGCAGCGTAGCTTAAAAAAAGTTTTAAACTGACCCCAATCGACGCGTTGATGAGCTTGATGAAGTAGGTGGAGAACTCGCCGATGCCGCCGCGCATCTCCGGCGGGATGCGAGGCAACAGCTCGTCCAGGGCACGCTTGATCCACGTCACCTAAAAATTTTAATATCCGGAAGCTCAAGACGAAAATGTACCTTTGTGGCGGTGTCGTTGTCCATTCCGCCGAGGGTGAAGCACGAGAAGTAGACCGGGTCGGCGCGCAACTGGTTTATCTTGCTCTGGAAAGGATATAATTACGATCAGCTACAAAGCACGCCTCGAACCTGTGCATCCATGACGCGCTGCGCATCGGCGTTGAGGCCGTTCATCTGCGGGTTGTGCCACTGGCTGGTGAAGTTGCTGTAGGGCCGTGGCACCTTCTTGTCCTGCTCGTAGTCGGCCCAGGCTTCTTGGATCTGAACAAACCATAAATTATCAATAATATAAATTATTTAATAGCATTCCACAACACCAATTTACTTAATTCTTTTTTCGAAAAAATACGTTTCAAAATTATGTTTTAAATTTACCTCGTCCTCCGTCAGCTTCTCGTCGACAATGTTGTGGAACAGCGTGTCGTGCTGAACATAGTCGGTGATGGCGTCGGGCAGCTTGTGCAGCACGTCGGCCAGGAGACGATCTTGCGGCGGCGCGTACCGTTGATGCCCGCCCTTCAGCTCCTTGGGGTTGAATCTGGAAAATAAGTTTTCAAACTGATGATAAAACGATATGTTTGAAATGATAAATGATAAAACGAAAACTTAAAACTAGGAAAATTCCATAATACATAACAAAAACTTACTGATACAACTCGGCCAAATCGGACCCCTCGTAGTGGCGCATGATCTGCGCCTCGTCGACGACGCGCATCGACGTGGACTCCTTGATGACCTGGCGCTTGTAGATGGTCTCTTCCATGGTGCCCTGAAAGCAAAAAGATATATTTTATTACATTACATCGAAAATTTAATAAAGCGAGAGAAATTTGTTTCATTTTGGCTTAATATAACAAATATGATACTTTTAGAAGTGTAAAAAAATACCTGAGCAATCATGCGGTAGATGTACACGGGCTTGGTCTGGCCGAAGCGGTAGACGCGGAACAGGGACTGCGTGTCGTGCGAGGGATTCCAGCACGCGTCGAATATGACGACCCGGTTGGCGGCCACCATGTTCGTGCCGAGGGAGCCGGCCTTGGTGGAGATGAGCATCAGCCTAAAACGGAGAGATTAACGTACCGTAAAGCAAGCAGCTGCTCTTAAAAATAAATTAAAACTATTAAGCAAAAAAAAGCGTAAAAAAACTAAGTAATAAAAAATTCTCACCTAGGCCTCAACTCGGATGGGTTGTTGAACTGGGTCTGGATCTTGTCCCGCTGCTTGGCATTGACAGCACCGGTGATCCAGAGGTAGTCGCGGTTCTCCTTCCATCCCCAGTGCTCGTTTCCGTTCAGCGCCTCGTGGCCGTCGGTGAACCACGATTGCGTCTGGTCGAAGAAGGTGAGCATCTCCTTGATGAGGCCGAGGGATTCCAGCGATTGCGAGAAGACAAGCCTGAAAAGAGGGATGTGAGCAAGAGAAAGGAAGAGAGTGATAGAGAGAGAGAGAGAGAGAGAGAGGAGAGAAATAGAGAGAGAGAAAGACAGATAGAGATAGAGACGGATAGATAGAGAGAGACACTTACAATTTATCGCCAATCTCCTCGCACTTCTTGATGATCTGGATGAGGAGCATGAGCTTGTTGGACAGTTCCCATTTGTACTTGTCGTCCGAGCTGACCAGCTTCTGATCGGTGAACCAGCCGGAGAGCTCGCCGGGCGTTCCCTCGCGCAGCCCGTCCTCCGACGCCGAATCGCCCGCCAAGCGACGACTGTTGCGCGTCCTAAAAATTAAAATTAATTGTTTTAATCTATTTAAAAATCATTTCAAATAAAAAATTCGCAGATTCAAGACAATAACAGCAGGTGCTCGATAAAAAAGATAAAGCTTACTTTCTCGATGACGTCGGAGCATCATCCTCACAAATGACGTCGCTGTCCGAGGCGTTCTTCACCGATTCCTCATCAGTATCCGTGCCCGAACCGTCGTCGATAAAGTCTTCTTCTTCTTCCCGGTCGTCCTCCATCATTCTCTGAAAATGGTGACTATGAATAATAAAAGACATAACAAATATTACAACCTAGGCATTTTAAAATGACAATAGGTTCTTTTACATTATCGGGGGACCGGGATATTTTTTTTTCTTAGAATCCGCTTTTTTCGAATGTAAAAGCGGAAGCGTTTCTAAACGCAAAAACTTTACAAAATTTGATCAAACATAAAAAAAAAATTGATTTTGTGACGAAAATTTTCACTTTTACCAGGTTTTTAGATAGTTTTTCTAGTTGAAATATAGTTACTTTTTACTTTTTATATAGAAATATTATTTGTTTACTTTTTACCAAAAACACTAACTCCATATTAGTTACTAGACATTTTTAGACTACAAAACAATTTCGACCCCCCGTGAATCCGAAAGAAACTGACAAAAATCCCAAAAATTGAACTTTTCATTACGGGAAATAATAGATTGAAAGCCAAATTAAAAGCTATATAATTTCAAAAATTCGCCGAAAGCGATACCTTTCTCTCCATAGCCTCTCCATGCACAATCAATTGATGCGGATGCGTCCAGATACGGGCCAGCATGTAGTAGTCGGCGAGGAGACGCTTGCTGTACGCCGACTAAAACAATAAATAAATATAAAAATCTAATAAAAAATAATGCTCACCTTATCGACATTATCCAGGAATCCGCGGTAGAGTTTGCACTGTGCCTCGGTGAGGCTGACGTTGAGCATGTACTCCTGCTTGGGCGGGATGGCCTCCATTAGCACCGTGTAGTCCTTGCGCTGAAAAAAAAGAATTAGTTTTCTTTACACAAAAAAATTTACTAATGTTGTGTACTAAATACTAAAATAACCAAAAACAAAGAATGTTGTGTTTTTTGCTGTTAAGGATATTTTGCATGGGAAATGTCTACTAACTTTATAGGAGGAATTTTTTTCATAAATATATCTATATTTCACCCAGAAGTCGAAAATGTGGTCAAAAAACGGGTATTTTAGTCCGAAAACCCCTCCCCCGATACTGCAAAAGAACAGAATTTCAAGCTCTGTCAATTTAGCTACGTCGTATAGCCAAAATCGTCATTCTGACTGAAAAATATTTTTCTAAGAAGGCGTAAAATAAGAATCAAACTCACATCAACGCATTTCTTGAGCGTCTCGAACAGCACGTGACATCGCCGCTTCATGAAGCGGAACTCGGCGTCGGTGGCGTCCTTGGTGCGTCCCCGTTCGATCGGGTTCCCGAATCGATTGGCGAACTCCTTCTTCGAGCCGAGCAGGTCCGGCTTGACAAAGTCCACCATGCAATGGTCTAAAAATAAAATAGTTAAAAACTCCAGGACCAATGCCTACATTCGTTGAGGTTATTCTGCAGCGGTGTTCCGGTGAGACAGAGGCGCCGTCGCGTCTTGATCTTGACCATCGTCTTCGTCAGGGTCGTCTCGCTGTTCTTCAACTTGTGCGCCTCGTCACAGACGACGAGATCCGGGCCTGAAAAGAAAAAAATATTAGAAGCTATACCGTTTACTAAATACGATGTTAAAAATAATCCAAGACACTAAAAATTACCGGGATCTTGCAGATAGTAGCGGAAATCGTCGACAAACTTGGCCATCTTCTTGTTCGGCTTGCGGGCGGGCTTCGGCTTCGCGCCGGCACGTTTTGGGGCCTAAAAAAGACGTAAAAACTATAAATAAGCGAAACCTTGTGCTGGTCCTCCTCGTGCACGGTCAGCTGGCGGAACATGTCGTAGCCGATGATCATCACGCACGGATACTCGCTCTCATACCAATTCTTGAGGGCCCGGTGGCGATCGGCGTTTGTTTTGAACGAGTCGAGCTCCATCACCTGAAAAAAACGGGTTAAATTTACAAAAAAATATTTGAAAAGTCTTTTCGAAACTGAAAAGTTTTATTGATCCAAAAAAGTATGAAAAACCCTAAAGGACGCCCTGAACGTCTTCAACAACTTTAGGAAAAAAGCGTCAAAGTGCGTCTTGGACAAATTGACCAAAAAAAGTAAAAACGTCCCGAACGCCTTGAACAAGTCGCCAACCATTACCTCGATCGTGTCCAGCTCGGGATCGTTGTTGAGCAGCCACTTGGCAAACTCCTTGAACCAGTTGAGCACGACGTTCTTGGGGACGACGACGAGCACGTGCTTGATCTTCTTGCCGAGCTTCTCGTGCATCATGATCGTGTGCAGGAAGGTGATCACCTAAAAATCAGGTCATGAGCTGCTCCGAAAGGCGATACCTGCAGCGTTTTGCCGAGACCCATGCAGTGAGCGAGAATTCCGCCACCGCCCTCCTCCTCGAGACGGTCGAGCGACTCGAAGATGGAGTCGTACATGAAGCGGATACCCTCGGCCTGATGCTTCTTCAGAATATTGACCTAAAAAGGGATAAATAACGATCTTGTACAGAAATAAATAAAAAAATAAGGTTATTTCGCATTATCGGGGGGAGGGTAGGCTTTCTGAACTGTTTTTACTTTTCCTAAACGTCAAACTTTACAAAATGTGATTAAAAATACAAAAAAAAGCGATTTTTCGACTAAAATGTCACAGCTTTTTCATTGTTTTTCACGAAAAACGCAATTAAATTTTGTTAAAAATGCTATTAAAAGACTCATCATTACGTTACTAAGCATTTCTCATTATACAAAAAAAATCGGTCCCCCCCCCCGATAATGCCCAAGAACCAAAAACAAAATTCCTCACCAAAGACTGATGAATGGCCACAGGCATCGGGGGGTCGCCGTTGCGATCCGGGTCGAGGATGACGTTCTTCAGCACCGAGCGCTTCTGCGAGCCCTCCAGCGCGGCGGCCAGGTCCTCCTCCTCGGCCAGCTCGATGCCGTTGAACTCGCGCTGCTTGATCTCGAGGCGTTTTCGGCGTTCCTGAAAAATGGCGTGTTTCTAGTCTAGAATAATTTCGACATAATAAAGTATATTTTTTACCTTTTCAGCCTTCTCGGCGTCGACGGTCTCCTTGGCGAGCTTGTCCTTGGTCAAGATGGCCTTCGAGCCGCGCGCTTTCTTCTTCTCCTGGGCGGCCACCGAGTTGTCGTCATCGTCGTCTTCAACAAGTCGGGCCTAATTTGGTTTTTATAAGTTTTTTTTTAATGCGAAATTACCCTCTTCGCAGCGGGCTTCTTGACTTCCTTCTCTTCGCTGGACGCGTTGGAGTTGTCGCTGGCCTGAAATTTACGATTTAAAATACGTTTCTATTTTTTTTCGTAATGAAGCCGTTATTATTACTCTGATAAATTTCCTTACCTCATCATCTTCACTCTCTTCCGCTTCTCCTTTGCCGGAAAAATCAGAATCCGACAGGATCACGACCTTTCTCCTAAAAAACCGTAAATTCCAGAAAATTCAATTTTACAAACTTTTTGCCGGAAGATTTGCTCTTCTCCTTGTGCTTCTTGGCCTTGTTCCCGTTTTCCTCGTCACTCCCATCCGAATCAAGCGAATCCAGCAACCTCTTCGCCTTTTGCAGGTCTTTATCCGGCTTCAATCCCTAAAATACTTTTGCATGCGATAAATCAGCTTTTTTTTACCAATCTGGGCGACTTCTCCTTGTCGTCATCTTCTTCAGAGTCGGAGCCTTCTACAGATGGTCCACTTCCGGAGCCATCTTTTTGCTTTCTCGTCTTTTCCTTAGCAGATCTAAAAATGTCAAACTACGTGCAAAAAAAATTTTGATTACCGATGTTTTGTGCTTCTGAAGAGCCGGCCATTGCCATTGGAACTTTTGGAGGGAGATACGTTGGCAGATGATTCCTAAAAAAAGCAGAATAAACTGAAGAAAAAAACCGGGTTTCCAGTTTCAAAAACGCAAAAAATTCTTACCTTTCCGTTTTTCTTCGGCTTATCCGAATCACCGTCGGAAAAGACACTATCCGAAGACACCTCCTCGATCTCATCCTCATCCGCCGCCTCGTCGCTGCCCTTCTTCTTGAATTTCGGCTTCTTCAACGCCTTCTTCGACTTGGAGAGCAGCTCGTCCAATTCGGAATCCGAGCTGCCCTCGTCCGACTCGGGCTTCTTCTTCTTTTTCTTTGGCGAGTCCTTCTTTTTCTAAAAAATGGATGATAATCATTGATTTTTTTGGTTACCGAGCTCTTTTTCTTTTTCTTCAGGCCGATGCCATGCTCTTTCCGGATCTCGGCCTGTAGCCGCAGATCTTCGTCGCTCACCACGGAATGGTCGCTGTCGCCGTCCTGGAAAAATCATAGTTAGGCCAGTTTTTTGTTATATTTCGTTTCCAATCAAGGTATTAAAGTATAGAAAACTACCTCTTCCATTGGTCCGTCGCTCAAGATGATCACCTCGCACTCAGGGGGCTCGGGCTGAAACGAAAAATCGTTAAAAATGCAGGAAATCACCTTCCGGCTAGATTCAATATATCGATTCGGAGGAAAAAGAGAAATATTGAAAATCAGGACACATTTTGAAAGTTTTGACCTTAAAGATGGGCTCAAAGACCAGAAAAGGACTTTCAAAAACAAGACCGCGCCGAATTACTTGCTGGAATGTCGAAAAAGGCTTTAAAGCCATCGGACATCGAGCAATCCATGGATTTTGAAGGAAAAAGGGATTAAAAGCACGACTAGCCCAGAGAATTTGCAAGTAATAATCGCTCATTTAGTACCAAGAACAATGGAATACTTTTAAAAACATGAAACCGCCTAAATGCCCAAGATTTCGCGCAGGTTCTGAAACTTTAGACTTGAAAAAACAAAGCCAGAAGTGAAGAGAAAGACTAGTTTCGAAAGTTATGATATGAAGCTTCACTTCGAAAACAAGAAAATACGTTAAAAGCGCTAACGATCCAAAGTTTCGAGGTTTTTGCGCGGGTTTTAAACTTTAGTTTTGAAAAAAAGCCAGATACCTCTATCCAAAACGCCATATAAAGTTTGAAAAAAGAAAGATAGAGCTATAAAGATACGTTTCGGATCTTATCATTCCAAATTTGGCTTTAAAGACACGAAGATTACGTCAAAAACAAGAAACCGCAAACGTTCCCCAATTTTCAAAATTTGAAAAAAACGCGCTTTTCCGGAAAGCAGAAGCCGCCCGGGACCAACCAAAATCCAAGTAAAATAAGTACAAAAAATTTTCAAAATTTCACGAAAAATCGATAATAGCCTAGAGGGAACCTTCATCGGGAAATGGTTGCAGGTCGGGGCGGCTAGGAACGGCCAGTGGAGAGAGAAGCGGATGCGATGGGAGCGGAGATAGTGCATTAAAGGGGGAGGGTGGAGGGATGGAGGCGGAATAGGGATTAGGATAAAGTAAGAGATCGAGGTGGGGTGAGCGCGCGGGGGTTTGAGGTCCGAATGGACACTTGTAAAAACTAGTGCCACCCGTGTTTTGTAGCTGCTCGTAGTCGCGGTGGGGGTCTTGATCGGGGGAGCATGGTCAAGGTATTGGAGCTAATCCGGAAGTGGTTTTTAGAAAATTCCACGGCATCTGGCGGCTTCAAAAGTGTCTAATCCTATAAATTCAAAAAGACAGTTGCTTTTTACCTGTAAAGAAGGCTTAACTTAGGTCCAGGTTCACCCAGACTTAGTACTAAGCGAAGATCAAGCTCAAGCTTAGCCTAAAGCGCATTTTCAGGGATTTGTACGTAGATTCCTATTTACGCCGAGAGACTGAGGTAAAAGAGAGAGCGAGAGAGGGAGAGAGGAGCTTTAATATACCCGAAAGCGAGCACGAAAAACGGTTTAAAAAGCTCGAGCTCGCTAACCTAAACTTGAGGCCAAGCCGAGCTTCCGCTTTTGGCTACAACAAAGCTCAGGCTCAGGTTTTAGCTTAGTGTTTGCCAAAATTGAGGCTTTAAAACGCAAAATAAGCGTGTGACAGCCCCCGTAAGCTACTCGAGGCTCAGTACGGGATTCGACATCGCAAGATTAGAAAGAAAATAAAGCGAGAGAGAGAGAGCGTTTAGCCAGTTTTTGCAAAAATTAAAACTTAAAAGCGTATTTTGGAGCGCCTAAAAGTGCAGATTACTCTGTCGTTAGTTCATCTAGGTGAGGCAAGCGATTTGGCGTGAGAAAATTCAGAAAATGAACAAGAAAACATCATAAAATCAATACAGTTGAAATCTCAAGCATTTTTGGCGCTTTTCTGGCCGACAAAAAGTCATCAACAACTGAATGAACAGTACCCCCTTCTGTGCCGGGCGTTTCTTAGGCGGTGACGCCTTCTCGGACTTGACCTCCTGCTGTGAGCGCTGCTTTTCAATCTGGAAAAGCCAAAATTGCAGAAAAGAATGAAAATAGCTTACCGGGCTGGCGACTGGGGTCAGCAACTTCTGCGAGTCGTCCAGAGCGTTGACCTTGTTCAAGAAGCTGTTCGTCGATTCTTGGGTGGCCGGCCGTACGGTTTCCTCATCGTCCTCATCGCCCGAGAAAGTCTTGTCGAGTGGCGCTCTTTTTGGCGTTCGGCAGGGGACCGTTTCGGGGATTTCCTCATCGTCAGACAATTCGATCGTCGTGTTGTCCGGCGCCTGAAACGGGATATTTTGAATTTTGTCGAAAATTAGCAACGATTTGACAACTTTTTTTTTCTTATTTTCCTAGTTGTAGCTTTTTTTAGCAAATTTTAACGTAATTTAAAGTCGAAAAATGGTTAGACAAAGGTTGAAACCGAAAAAAATCCGCGATTTGGGTCATTTTTCGTCGAAAAATACAGATTTATAATAAATTTGGAGAAAATTTATTTTCGACGAGCGATTTCTACACTTTTTCGAAATCTGATATCGATACCTGCGACTCCTTGGATTCGCTACTTGTGTAGGCGCTCTCGGTCGGACTATCGCTGAACAGCTGCATGAATGCCTTGGGGAAAGCAGAAGTGTTTTTGCTCTTCTTCACCGGCAGCAGCCTGGTGTACTTCAGACCATCGCCGGCGGCGGCGGCGTCGTCGTCGAGCTGCATTTCGTCGACGCTCTCCTGGCTCTCCTCCGAGAGGAATTCTTCGCGACGTTTTGAGGTTGTCGGGCGGTCTGGAAATATTTCTTACAAAATTTTCATGATTAATTGTTTCGATTTAAGCACCAAATCAGATATTCCACACTTTTCATCAAATTTATAAAAATATAAATTTTTTTTGGCGTTGTTATTTTTCCCTTTTTTTGCCCTAAGCATGCCTAGTAATAAAAAACAACTTAGAATCATTGTACCGTCTGAGAAAATTCCAAAAACTAGCAATCCCCACCTTTCTAGTTTTTCAGACGTAAAAGTAGCGTAAAATCTTGTAAAAACAACTTTTCAACGGCTAAAAAAGCATAAAAAATTAAAATACAACAATTTCGGCGTTCAGATAAGCATATTTTAGAGTCCAGATAAGTAGTCCCACATTTTAAACCCACAAAAATCTAGAACAAACCACGAATCACTGGCGAGGCCTCCCTCGATTCAGTCAGAACCTCCGGATCCGGTGTCGAGCAAACTAAAGCTCATTTTTCTTGAATTAAAAGCAAAATCCTTACCAGCCGGGTTATCCAAAATCTCGGCAAACATCTGATCAGCGCCCGGCGTGTCGGCACGGGCCCAAGAAGTCGAAGGAAGCGGCTCGGCCTCATCTACATCAGCTTCCGGCATCGCCGATGTACTTGGCTGATTCTCGGCCGACGCGCGCGACTTGGAGCCGTCCTGAAAAAAAAAATAGATGGCTTCTAGAAGCAGTTTAAATAGTTTTATCAACTTTTAAACAAAAAAAATCATTATTTAAACTTTTTAGGTCAACTATCTACTTTTAATAACGTTTTGGAACATTTTAAATCGCTTCCAAACTCGAATACCTTTCGATCGCGCGAGTACTCGGATGCGTAGTTGTCAATCTGCAAAAAGGTGGGTATTTTTCAACGGATAGCAAATCTAACCTGATTTCTGACTTTCGCAAATAATTCTTCGATTTCGGACCTTTTTGCCCGGCCGGAAGACACCTAAAAAAGAAGTAATAATAGGCTAATTATAGGAAACCAACCCGTCGAAGCTTTTCTTCTATGTCGCGGGCTAGCTTCGCCGCTACTTCGAGGTCTTCCACCTCATCGTCGTCGCCGCTTTTTTGGCTCATAGCCTGAACATTGGAAAATTAGTAAGATCAAAGCATAAAGCGTTATTTAGGAATTGAAAACGAAAACGTGAAAATCAAAGGAATCAATAGAGGAAGGGCAATCTAGAAAAATAGATTTTAAGCCGCGTTTGTTTAAAAAAGGGCAGTTTTATGTTTTTTAAAGATGTCTTTCGATAAAGCATAATACGTGGTTTAGAAATTAAAAACGAAAACGCGAAAATCAAAGGAATCAATAAATGAAGGGATCTAGAAAAATAGCTTTCAAGCGGACTTTGTTTAGAAAAAGGGCAGTTTTTATGTTTTTAAAATGTTTCCTTCGAAAGGGACAATAGGTCGCGTAAGCCGTTGCGCGTCATTTGACTGGGGGTGGACTGGAAAGAGAAAAAGAGGCGAGAAAGCAGTTGAAAAAAAGAAGAGAAAACACAGCGAACAGCAAAAAAGACTACGGATTGTGAATACTAAAAAAAAGACACCATTTAAAGTTAGACACGGGCAAGAAAGAGACTAAAAGATCGAGAGAAGGAAGAGAAAAAGATAGTTGAAAGCAGCAAGGAAGCCTAAATCGTTTCAAAATTTAGAAAAGCGTTTTTAACGTGAAAACGCGTGCAATTTCTAACGTTTTTAAACCAAAAAAGCGAAAAGTTGCGTTTTTCATAGCTAAAAATGCAGGCGCGGATCCGTGCGCGCGAAAAAGACGCCAGTACTGGTAGAAGAAACTGAAGAAGCTGAAGAAGCTGAAGAAATCGTCGCCTGGAACAAAAAAAAGTGACTAACATTAAGAAAAATTCCTTTTAAACGCGAGAAGTAAAGTTTTTGGTCTTGACGCCGTCGTGGTATAGCGTGATCGCTTAGTTTATAGCGTAAAAATGGAAGTATGACTTCAAAACTGAAGCGTAGAAAACTTGTTGCATCCTGGCGAGGGTTCTGGGAAAAGCTTTTCAGGCATTATACATTTTTAAACTTTAGAATAATGTTAAAAAGTGCCATACTTACCCAGATACGTTATTACCTAGTTTTTGATCAGAGTAGCGGGTCGATGAAGCTCAAAAACCCTCAAAAATTCTAAAAACGCTTCTTTTTTTTGGAATTTGCTGCTTTGAATCTAGTTTTTAATAGCTTTTTTCATCATGTCTATAGCTTTAAATTAATATTTATAAAATTCAACACCCCAGAAAAATTACAAAAAAAACACGACTTCGCATAAAACATCAATTACCAGACAACCACTTTGAACCCGGGGATTTTGGCACTCAACATCACTCGATTAACACACGTTCCCTCGTATATAAAGAGCCCCCTGGAAGGCACAAGTACCCAACAAACTTCAACAACAACAACAAGAAGAAGATGGCCCAATCCGTCGCTCCCGGTGACATCATCACGCAGCCCGGCACGAAGATCGTGTTCAACGCCCCGTACGATGACAAGCACACCTACCACATCAAGGTGATCAACTCTGGAGGACGTCGCATCGGATGGGCCTTCAAGACCACCAACATGAAGCGTCTTGGTGTCGACCCGGCCTGCGGTGTCCTCGACCCCAAGGAGCAGGTTCTGGTGGGTGATTTGAACTGCTTGAGCATGTTGTTGCTCTTTTGAACGCCTTGAACTGCTCGATTTTGATGGAAATCTGCGAATTTATCATTTTCGCCTCTCAAAACTGCTTGAACTGCTCGATTTTGACGAGAATCTGCTAATCAAAACGGATTGAACTGCTCGAATTTGATGTTCAGACCATCTAATCGCTTCTATTCCAGGTGGCCGTGTCGTGCGACTCGTTCCAGTTCGGTGCTGAGGACACGAACAACGACCGTGTGACGATCGAGTGGACGAACACCCCCGACGGTGCCGCCAAGCAGTTCCGCCGCGAGTGGTTCCAGGGAGACGGCATGGTCCGCCGCAAGAACCTCCCCATCGAGTACAACCCCTAGAAGATGCCCGATTCCCTTGTGCGCCCATGAATAAACGTTTTTTCAACGTTGATTGTTGTTTTTACGCACGGAATTACTCTTGGACATTGCTACAGAGCTTGCCCGCGTCTTCAACAGGTTCAGCTATCGTCTTGGACTTGTCTTCTAACAATTACAACTGTAATGCTACGGCTTTTTCGCCTATTCCTGGGTATGCTACGATTGTCCGACGGTGCCGCCGAGCAGCGACAGAGCTTTCACCACGTCTTCAACACGTTCAAAGAGCGTCTTAAACTCCCGTTTGGGCCTAGCAAAAAAACAAGAGTCTTTCAAAGGTTGCCTATAATTTGCGGTTCTAGTTCGTTAGCGGGGGGACTCTGGATGGGTAGATAGTTTTTAGTTAAGATTTTGACCGAAAAAAAGGGCATTTTTTGCATTTTTTCATCAAAATTTGTAACGTTTTTAGGTTTTAGGAATAGTAAAAAACTATTTAGAAACAGGATGCTCCCCCCGATAAAACGCAAGAACCAGGAAATCAAGACTTTCGGGCCCCTTTCAAGGCGCAGATCTTCCTGCGAATTCCCCGAGATTCCATCCTGCCCCTAATTCCACCCAACCTGCCAGCGGCTGATGGTTGGCGCGGGTTGGCGACCTCCCCCACCCAGCATTCATTGATATCAGCCTTGCAGGCCTTGCTCCCTTTCTCTGCTCTCTCCCGATCTCTCTCACTCTCTCGCCCCCGGCTCGCCCCTTCTTCTCCTTATTTGCGAGAGCCGGAAAACGTCCGGCCACACCCACTACCCACCCACCCACACCCCACCCAACACAACACACTCACACTTACACCCCATACACTACCGAGATTGCGGTGGCCTTGAGGATTTGATTAAATTAATTTTTTCGCGCCTTTTTTGGTTTTTACTGTTTTTGTCTTTTTATCGGCTGGGGCAGGCCAGCAGAGTTTATTTAGGAAGAGGCAGGCTAGTTGAGATACTTTAGGAAACGGCAGTCTAGCTGAGATTCTTTAGGAAAAGGGCAGGCTAGCGGGGGATTCTTTAGGAAATGGGGGGCTAGCAGAGATTCTTTAGGAAATGGCAGGCTAGCAGGAATTGTTTAGGAAAGATTGTACGCCTTATTTTTGCTGTTTTCCTTTACAAACCTAAAGTTTTGGGTTCGTTGATTGATCGACCCCCAGCCAAGACTTGACGTCCCTAATTGAGGCCAATCACCCCCCATCTGGGGAAAAGCAGCACAAACCAGCCGGGGATGGGTTCCGCGGGCAATCACCGACGAAATCGGCTGTTTATGGTAGCTTCGCGTTGTTTTGAAAATTTGACGATTTTTAGAAGTCGGTTACTGTATTGTTGTCATGCTTTATCTGCCCTGAATCTGAAAAACCCAGGTGAAAACGGTTCCTCAAAGGCTGATTGTCTGTTTTTTGTGTGTTCGTCTTAACTTGTACAAACTATATAAAATTTACGTATTTTCGTGCTATTTATTAGATATCTATTTATTGCTGTTTTTATCAAAATTTCGACTTTTCGAAAATGTTTTCAAACGTTTTAGATAGTCATCCAGTCAAAATATAGTTTTATTTTACTAAAAACATTGCTAAAATATTTCCTATAAGCGAATAGGAATTTCTAGACTAATAGAACCCCCCGATAATGCGAAAGAACCCCGATTTGAATCCCAATTCCCTGCGCCTCCTTTTCGCTCGAGCTGACTCAAAAACGTACACGCCGAATGTGTTGGTTGGCTGCCATGTTCTAGCCGAATGGTTAGTATTTGTCGTCGGCCCATTTCAAAAGGCGCTTCCCTCGCCTCAAGCCCTCCTTCCGGCCAGTCACACCGTCTTCAACAATACCCCCACGGCGCTTTCCCGGCTTCAAGGCTATTTATCTATGCCCACGAGGACCCATAAAAATCGGGGGGAAATGCGGCGCATAGAAAATGATAAATACAATTAAAATAGGCTTAATTAAGGCGATTTTCCATAAATTATAGCTTATTTTGTGTTATTTTCTGCCGATTTTCTTAAGAAAAGACCCGTTTTTAGCGGCGAAAGGAAGCTATCAAGGTCATAAAATTACTTTTAAACGCCTGAAAAACCCCAAAAAAACCCGCTGTTTTTTATTAGTCTTTTTCAATGTCCTATTTTTACAGCTTTACAAAACTTTTGGCCTTTTAAAATACGATTAATAACTTAGACTTCAATTTTACACCGTTACTGTGATTAAATTTTCGTGCCTTCGAGTTTTAAAACTCAAAGATAAAAAAGGTATAGGCTACGGTTTACTTTACCCCCCCCAGCCGGAAGTTTTTGGCTATAACTTTTTTATTTTACATTATTGTAGGCTCAAATTAAAACTCTTAGTATATTTTTTGACGCTCTATCGAATGGCGTTGCAAAAATCCCGACAAAATAAGCGAAAATACCGACAACTTTGTGACCCTTCGGCTGGGGGGTAAAGTAAACTCTTACCAAGGTATAAAGCTTAATTAATGGTGTAAACATCCTGTTAAGTAATTTCCCCGAGCCAGAATGCCCTCCCAACAACCCCGGCCCGCTGAGATTTACACGACGGCCCAGCCGGATGGGACCTACGTGACGACAACTACCAAAGAGACCACCAGGTAAGGGGCAAAACGAAGTTTCAGTTAGGTTCTTTCGCATTAGCGGGGGGACCGAACTTTTTCTACAAGTCTAGAAATATAGAGTAAATCAAAGGCAAGTGTTTTAAAAGTGTTTTTAGTAACAAAAATAACTATTTTAACTAGAAAAACTTGAAAAATTCGAAATTTTTGTCAATAACGGCCATTTTTGGGCGAAATATCGATTGTTCGCACGTTGGAATAGTGTTTTTAGCAAAATTGAAACGATATTTCAAGCGCGCAACAATAAAAAAGCCTAGAAACCTTTTTATCTGAGATTTTGCTCCAAAATCGGCAATTTTTGGTCGAAAAATCGAGATTTTGGGCATTTTTTAATAGAATTTTGTAGAGTTTTAACGTTTAGGAATCGTAAAAGTCTTTTAGAAACACTTTCACTGTTTATATTCGAAAAATTGGGTCCTAATAAAAAAGTTTTCCGCGCCCGAAAAGCCCCCCCCCCGATAATGCGAAAGAACCTTCAAAATCCGCAAAAAATCGACAAAATCGGGTTTGTTTAATCTGCCAAAATCAGATACCGTGAGGACGAGGTGTACAGCTGCGGGCTGGGCAGGACCGATTCGTCGCGATGCCTCCACCCGATGGGAATTTTAAGGATGTGCGAGATTGTGAGTATTTTGTCGGTCTGTAGCCTTACGCCTATATATTAAAAATTAAAATTAAACCTAATTTTTTTAAAATTAATTTTTAACCAGGGTTGAAAAACCGCTTCGCGGCTTTTCAACCCTGGCCCCGTCTAGGACCGATGAAAGGCTTCAAATTGCATGCTTCTTCCCTGAAATCTATCAGGAAAAAAGTGCGAAAACGGCTCCTCTGTCGCTTTATATAGGCTATCCCACTTCCGGCTTATGCTAATCGATCCCTAACAAAGAGGGTGGGCGAGAATTTTACAAAAACTTGTTTTTAATAGCGAAAATAGCAATTTTTCAAAGATTTTATGTGCGTGCAGTCGATTCCGGATCCTTCTTTATCTAATGCCGTCTCTGCCCAATCGAAAAAATTCTTCCCTGAGGCTGTAGGTGCGGAACATCCTCACGGAAGTTGCATGCAAATGCACACACACATACAGACACTATTTTTTTATATATAGTAGGATGAAATTAATAAAAACTAAAAAATAATTTCTACAGTTCCTGGTGCTCGTGACGATCTCGTTGATCACCTCCGTCTACGGGCCGGGGCCATTTAAAGGTAAGTCCGACTCCTCTAAAGAAACCGGAAACCTTCAGGAATCCTATTCGGCCAGACAATGTTGCTGATCTTTGCCGGCCTATGCCTCTGCGTCTCCTTCATTTTCCTGATCGTCTACTTTTTCGCGCTCGACGAGAGCCACCTCGACTTCTGGCCGTGGAGCCTCACGGTAGGGCAATGGCATCCGGATATCAGGTGCTTTGGCATTATCGGGGGGGGGTGTAGCGGACTAGATATACCTAATGCAATAGTAACAACTATTTTAATAGTACTTTCAGCGAAAATTAGCTATTTTCAAATCCAAAAACTCGTTAAAAACTTCTAAAACTGTCTAAAAATGCGCAAAACATCGAAATTTCGGTATTATCTTTACAAATACAAATATTATTATACTATTATACGGTACAAATATTATTTTTTAATAAAAACTTACTTTATTGCAAGTGGAAAACTGCTTAAAAACTTTTAAAAATGTCCAAAAATTGCAATTTAGCTAAAAAATCGTTAGTAGCAAGCATTTTAATAGTAGTTTTAATACAATTTTGCTATATTCCAAGTGGAAAAACAGTTTCAAAACTTATAAAAATGGTTAAAATTTAAATTTTGATCGAAAATTCGAGTTTTTTTCTATTTTTCACGATGACAAAATTTGATTCTACAGAAAAAATTGCCCCTCGATATCGCCAAAGAACCGGCAGTCAAGTTGGCGGCTTGAACGGCTTGGACCGGCTTGAACAGCTTGGAACGGAAATCGGCCCAACGAGTTCAAAGTGACGCTATTCGGCTACTGACTCGAAAAAATCAACTTAACCGGCTCTAAAACGTGGGCCAATTTCAGGACCTGGCCTTCTCGGCGACGGCCTCGATCTTCTTCTTCATTATGACCGTCATCGAGGGGTACTACGCCACCGGTTCATGGGCCAATAATTGCAACGATATTGGATCTGATGGCTTTTTGCACAATGGATGTCGTTTTGTCTACGAGTGGGCTTTTGCCGCGGTGAGTTATAAGGGGGCAAATTGTCACTGCTAGCCTGCCTTTGGGGCGTTCTAAAGGCACGGGAAGGGTACGGGTATGAATTTTTCGCCTCTGGATTGGTTAAAGATTTTGCCGGGCCCGCGACACGCAACGCGTCGCCAGCGTGAGGTTCTTTTAATCAATTACGCAATGAGGTTAGGTCATGCGCAAATTGTCACTGCTAGTTTGCCCTGGCTTTTAACGGAGCGGGCAAGGCATGGCATGCATGGTTCCGCCTCTGGGCACGCAACGCTTGGCCAATATGACGCGGTTTTTCTCGTTCTAAATTAAATTAAAATTTGTCGATTTTTAAATTCTATTTTTTTAAATTTTCGCGATTTTTAAATTAAATTTTAAAATTAAATGAAAAAAGCGAGAAATAAGGCTTAGGTTTAGGCCAACTTAGGCGGTTGCGTCTGGCGCTCGCGTCACGTGTCACGTTGCGTCGCCACAAAAAATAACAACCGGGAATTCGGAGTCTCAAACATCCATAGCCTTTGCCTTGCCCGTCCCTTTAATGGAACCTAGAACCCCTTGAAAACGGCCGGCTTTCAGTTGATGTGCTTCCTGCTCGGCTGCCTGTACGGCGTCTCGGCCCTGTTCGCCCATCGATCGCGTTTCAACGAAAACGATCGGCGCTACACTTATGAATAAGCAAAAAATTAGCTGTCTTTTTAAAGCTAGCGTCAACTTTTCAAATCCGACAAAATACATTATAATTACCAATTAAATTGCCTAAATTGTTAAAAATAATGACTTTGCTGCTTAACCCGATTTAATTGGGTTGTTTTTTTTTACGTTAAAAACCCTAATCTCATTTCATTTATCCTCTTGCCTTTTCTTTTGTTTAATTTTGTAATTTTTTCATTAATTTTGTAACTTTCTACGAATTCTATCCCATTTTTATACCCGGTTCAAAACGCCCCCATTCGTTGCATAATAAAATCGACAATTTCTCCCTTTGATTTGCACTGCCATTTTTGTAAAATAAACTACTATGTAAACAGGTGTTGTGTAATTTTTTTTAATTAATGTTTTAAATTAAAAAATTTATTTTTTGATTTTTGTCAAAAATTAAAAAATTTAAATTTAAAGTTTGTAAATAATATGTTATTCAATGTGAATGCATCATAATTTATGTGGGACCATATTCATCCGGCTTCAGGCGTCCCTCGAGCCGGGCGAGCTAAAGAGTGTCCGATTTAGGATACGGTATCGGTCAAGAATTACGGCATTTGACCGTATTACGGTATTACCGTCATTTTAGAGAAATGAATTTTCTTTCTAGAATGTCCTTCTTTCACTAGTAAAAGTTTTCCTTAATTTTAAAGTCGCTAAAGTTGAGTTTTTCTCGAATATTTTTCAAGTATTTAAAGTTTTCCTTTACTTTAAGCCCTCCCTAAACTTGCTTTGGAAAAATGATTTTTTTAAATTGAGCTTTGTTTGATTTTACTTTTAAGAATTTAAAAATTAAAAAACTCGAAAAACGCGCGAAAAACACTGACTGACCCGCAAAAGCCATGCCTCCCCGTAAAGAGTAAAGTAGCGTACCCTTCCGTTGATCCTTTCCAGAATTCCCATAAAACGTCGTTCGAGGCGCCCCTCCAGCCGATCCATCTCGACGCCGATCACGCGATGCAGCATCTCGTACGTGAGCAGCGGCGGCGTCTGAAATTCGGGGTTAGAAAGAAGGTCGAAAGCTTATCAAGAAAGATGAATAAAAGAGAGAGAGAGAGAGAGAGAGAGAGAGAGAGAGAGAGAGAGAGAGAGAGAGAGAGAGAGAGAGAGAGAGCGCGCGTGAGACAGAGGAAGAAGAGAGAGAGAGAGAGAGAGAGAGAGAGAGAGAGAGCGAGACAGCGGAAGATAGAGAGAGAGAGAGAGAGAGAGATCCTATCGTCAAAATATACCTCGTTGAAAGTCCGTTGTCCAGTTTCTTGACTCGTCTCGGCAATTGGCACATCGGGCTTCACAGCGGGCTGTGGCTCGGCGGCAGCAGGCGCCACTTCCGCTTCCTCCTCCCTGGCTTCATCCTAAAAACAATTTTCAGTTATTAAAGCTAGTTAAAAGAAATAGAATTTCCGAAACAAACCTGGAAATCTGATGCTCTCTGCTCGACCGGTTCGGGCTTCACTTCCGGCAGGTCGAGCTTGGGCGGCTGGAGTGGGGCCATGCCGAGGATCGGCTGCCCCAATTTGGCCATTCGCTCGAGCACGCTGTTTTTGGCTGAAGAAAAAACGATTATCTTTTTTACACATTTCTGCTTTTTCTCATCTTCCCATCTTATCTCACCACTCCCTTTGTACTAATTCTCCGTCAAGAGTTAGCTATCATTTCCAAATTTTTTAGTAAGCTATTTTTTATATGTTATTAAGTGCTATTTAATTGTCGAAGACAATAGGATTTTTTTGGGTTTTTTTACCGTTTTGAGGTAACTGCAAAATTATTCATGAAAAAATGAGAAACTTATAACTTGGTTCTTTCGCATTATCGGGGGGGGGGGGCGGGGATATTTTTTCGAAGGGACTAACGTTTCTAATAGAAATAGAGGCCGAGTTTCCAAATTGTTTTTTTTACTATCCCTCAACATAAAAACTTTACAAAATCTGATTAGAAAAATACAAAAAAATCTATAATTCGGCTCATAATCGTTTTTTACGTTTTTTTTAAAAATTGTTTTTCCACTAAAAATATGACTAAATTGACTAAAACGCCGTTAGAATACGTAATTTTATTTTCAAAAAGCGGTCCCTTCCAAATCTCCCAAAATTCACCTGGCGAAATCTTCCCCGTTATCTCTTCTTCCGCCACCACCGTGCTCTCCACAATTTCCGAGCTCGGCGTCACCGAGCGGTCCTTTTCGCTGCCCGCGTCGAGGGTGCTCCTGAATTCCAGGTTTCCTCATTGAAGGTCCCGTTACCTCGTGTCGTCGTTCGCCTTCTTGTGCTTCTTGACGACGATGAGCAGCGCCTCACCGGGGTTCGGGGTGACCTAAAATCATTATAACTATAATTTTAAGCAGCTTACAAAGATCTGAGCGCCCTTCTTCAACCCGAGCGTGTGGGCGAGGATGCGCTGGAAATTGCCGGACTTCTCGCGGACGCGGATCCGCTGCTCTTCGCTGGTTTTCTGAAGAATCGATTTTATATAGTTTTAACTGAGCGATAACAATTTAATAGAGATCTCAAATAAACCTACAAGAAGCTCCCCGGCTTCCTCGGTGAATTGCGTCACCTAAATTGAAAATAATAATTTTTTAAAGGCAAAATTACTAATTACCTCTAATAAAACGGAATCCCCAATGTCGATCGCTTGCTCGCCACTGCCCTCGTTGATTTTGATCGGCTCCTTGTTCCCTGAGAAGAGCAGAACCTGAAAAAAATTTAAGACTTTTGGATCTCGGCTTCCTGTTCGTCTACAGGTGTGTAAAGTATACCAAAATGTTCGTCTTGCTCTTGCGAGTATTTTGGTACACTTTACACACCTGTAGATGAACAGGGAGCCGAGATACGGTAAGTTAGCCAAAACCACATTTTATTTGTTTTTAAGTTCAGAATATAACTAATTAACATCCGGAAGTCCCTCATAACCATCACCCAATTAACATGCGTTCCCGAGTATAAAAAGCCGCAATTTCTTCGCTAGATCATCTCAACTTCCTGACAAGAAGATGGCTCAATCCGTTGCTCCCGGCGACATCACCACGCAGCCCGGCACGAAGATCGTGTTCAACGCCCCGTACGATGACAAACACACCTACCACATCAAGGTGATCAACTCTGGAGGACGTCGCATCGGATGGGCCTTCAAGACCACCAACATGAAGCGTCTTGGCGTTGACCCGCCGTGCGGAGTCCTCGACCCCAAGGAGCAGGTTCTGGTGGGTGCTTTGAACTGCTTGAAGTTATCGTAGCTTCTTTGGAGCGTGAACTGCTCGAACCTGATGTCCCAGCATCTGTAACCCATCTATTCCAGGTGGCCGTCTCGTGCGACTCGTTCCAGTTCGGTGCTGAGGACACGAACAACGATCGCGTGACGATTGAGTGGACGAACACCCCCGACGGTGCCGCCAAGCAGTTCCGCCGCGAGTGGTTCCAGGGAGACGGCATGGTCCGCCGCAAGAACCTCCCCATCGAGTACAACCCCTAATTTGCTTTCCTCACCTGCGACGGCCGCAATAAATGATTTTATGAATTTGCCCCATTGTTTGTATTTTACATGAACTCGTCCAACTCTTCGTAAACTCACCCAAGCCGCAAAGGTGAGCAGCGCCTCTCGTTGAGCTTCGGCGAAGACGATGGAGAGCTGCTTTTCGCCTTCTGGAACCCGATGGAAGTAGATGTACAGCCCGTTGAAGGAGAGTTGGTGGCGAAACTCTAAAGCTTGTTGTTGATCAATTCTCCGATGATTACCTTCGCCCCGCTGCAGCACAATCTGATGGACGGGCCGCTTGTCGGGCGTGTAGAGGACGATGCGCAACTAAAAATTTGGCGATTCAAGCTGGAAAATACAAAACCAACGGCATTCTGCTGCATCAACAAGGCGAGCCCTAGTTTTCCGTATGGGACCCATTCTTCGCTGGGCTCCGTCTTCAGAAACGAGGTGATGGAGGCGGAGAGCAGCGTCTTGACCTGCGCTTGGGTCGCTTCTGAACCAACAATTCTCGATAACTTGTCAGGTTCACAAACCTGTTTTCTGAGAGGCTTCCACCGGCTGCTGTTGCTGTTGCTTTGACGTTGAAGCGAAGATAGAGCCGAGATTTGTCCTGAAAAAGGTTTTGTATTGAAGTTTTCTTGGTTTTATCCTAGTTTTGCCCAGAATTACTCAATCGCTCGAAACTTCTAAAATTATAAGGAAGCAAATCGAGCTGATATTCTCCATACATAAGCCAAGTTTTATCCAGCTTTGAAGCTAAGCCAAGGACTCGCCTGATATAGAAATACATGGAACAAAAGCACTAGCGTAGGTTAAGCTACAATTTCTACGAAAGAATAGAGTTAAACTTAGACTAAAGCCAAGCCAAAGTCTAGCTCGGCCCTAAGCTGATTCATAAAGCTTGCTTCGAGCTATCTACTTTTCTATTTTTTGCTATCTAGTTGCCATTTTTTAAGCCTAAGCATGCGGTTAGACCTTACAAACCTCTTGCTCCTCGTATTGCCACCGAACTCGCTCTCCGAGTCCGACGATGGCAGATCATCGGTGACGAACATCTAAAACCACCCATACTCATGCTGTTAGACAAACCCAGGTCAATATTCAATTCAATGAAAATACCATAAAAACCGTGGAACCCAAGTTGGTGTATACAAAATTTATCGCCAAATGAATGAGTGGAAAGGTACCTAGCAAACTATCACAAATCAGAAGAGATAGCAGAGACTTGCGCTAAACGGTACTTTTGCATTATCGGGAGAGCAAAATTTAACTGTATTTTTTAAGTTAAAAACAATAAAAATTAGTTTTGTCGAAACTTTGGTCGAAAATCGGCCATTTTTCGTCGAAAATCGACATTTTTGTGTTTTTCGTAAAAATTGCCAAAGTTTTTGCGCTTGGGAATAGCAAACTCGAGTATGAAAACAATTTGGCTAATTATATTGGAAAAATTGGTTCCTTAGACAAAGCCCCCCCCCCCCGATGATGCAAAAGAACCGGCGAAACACAGAAAAATCGTGGAAAGTGAACATAGGCAATGAGAGACATCACAGAATGGAATGTGGGACCATGAGAATAAATCAATTCGTTAGAGCTTCAATTCCTTCAGCTGCTTGACGACGGCGCCATCGGTATTCCGGGCCACCACGGCAAGCCGCTCGTCCACCCGACAGATGCGCGCCCGAATCCCGGCCAGTTCACAGCAAAGTGCCAAGGAGCGGGCCGCCTCCTTACGAGCCAACTGAAAATAAAAGTCTATTACAGCCAAGAAAACGGTGTTTTGGCATTATCGGTGGGGGAAATCGAGTGTTTTCCTAAAAATCCAGTTCCGCCTGACAAAATAGATTTTCAAGAAAGCTTTTGTGTCGTGTTTTTCTCCAATATTAGCCATTTTCAAAACAAAGAAACTATGAAAAAAACTGAGATATCGCTTTCAAGTTTCGAAATTTGGCCAAAATTGATAGCTGCGATCGAAAAATCGAGATTTTCTCTCAATATTTTGTATTTGCAGCAAAAAAGGTTCTTTTATGTTGAAAAAATAGTTAAAAACAACGAAGAAACATTCCGTTCTATTCACAATCTAGAAGCCTCAGCGAAAGATTTAGTTCCCCCATCGATAACGCGACAGAGCCGCAAAACCACACCTTTGCCGAATTCGGCTCCAAGATGCCGAACGGGCGGAAGGCGCCCTGCGGCAATCCCTGCTTCTTCTCGTCGGCCTTCTCCTTGGGCTCCTCATCCGAATTGCCCTTCGTCGATGTCCGCTTTCGTACCTAAAAAGCTCGTTTCTACAGCACTATTTCCAAACCTTGCTGTCGCCCTCCTCCGACGCTTCGAGGTCCTGAAGCCAGAAGTCGTCTCCACTGACGTTTACCCTAAGTTGGCATTTTAAAGATAAACAACGGGATTATACCTTGTGTACGGCTCGAGATCGGTGGCGCCAAGTCCGGCGGCGGCCGTCAACGTAAGGCCATTGATGGATCTAGAAAAATATCTATAAATTTCGTTCTAAGGTTTCTCACCTAGCTCTCGAAGTCTCACTCCTGACCTCCTCGAGCAGCTTCTCCAATTGCAGGGAGAGATCGGTGTAGGTGGCGGCGAGCTCGAGACGTTCGAAAGCCAAGCTGTTGAACTCGTCAACGGCTCCCATTTGCTGGAATTTAGGTTAATGGAACATTTGAAACGTAAAAGTTAAACATAATACATAAAATACATAAAATATTGATTTTCCGATCAAAAATAGCCAAAATTCGGCTAAAAATAGTTTTTTACTATATTTCACAAGGACGCGGCTCCCATTTTTGCTAGAATTTAGATTAATGGAATATTTGCAAACCTAAAAACTTCCATAAAAAATATAAAATGCATCAAATATTGATTTTCCGATCAAACATAGCCGAAATACGACTAAAAATCATTTTTTTACCTTTTTCCACTTTGATAGAGTCAAATTTTACTTAAACATTAATAAAATCTTTACCATCAAGGTAATAGGCAGCAAATATAAAGCTCCAATGTCTCCCATCTTATCAAATATAGATCGACAGTTTCATCTGCAAGTCACAAAGCAAAACTCAATATTTTCGTATGTTTTATCGAACAATCAATCATCAACTCCCCCAAATCACAAACATTTCGCAATCGACGAGATGATACAACAATGCTGGGTGAGAAAGGAAATAAGTTATTTGAATAAAACTCCCGTTTCGGAATGGTGAGATACTGTAAAGAATGACTAAACAAAACAAACAAAGTAAAACAATAAATAGAGAAACGTTTAATAGTGACCCTCTTCGCCGGCGGCTCGCTGCATATTCTGGGTGGCCTTGGCCTGGATGCCGACGAGTTTCGGGCAGTCGGTGATGCGATGGCCCAGGCCTGAGCAGTAGGCGCAACCACGGTCTTGGCCGGTACCTGAAAAAGGGCATATTTTTCGTTTGGTAGTCCAGTAATTTAAATAATACACATTTTTAGCGTCGTTTAATAGGATATTTTTCTATAAAATTTGTTTGCTAACAAAATCTAGAGCTGAAAATCAAAATCAGTTTCCTAAAGAATCAAAATCAAAATCTGTTTTCCCACAGCAATAACGATATAGAAATTAGTATCGTGGCATTCCCAGCTGTTGACGTACACAAACGTAATTATAAACGTTTTCCAGCATAAAAAAATTCTTATTTACTGGAAAAATTATATCAAAATACACAAAAAATTTTAGAAAATGTCATTTTTAAACTTAAAAAATGTAGATTAATTTTGCTGTAGGAAATTAGCAAAAACACTAGAAAAAAGTATTTTAGCCCACACCCCCCCCCCATATTGACCCAGCACCGCCAAAACAATCATACCGTTTTGACTCTGTGCAGCATCGTCGCCTCCGCCGAGATCTTGAAGCATTTCCGGAAGTGGCTGTCCGGCTTCGATCAGCAACTGCTTCAGGTCCGCCATGATGTTCATGTCCGTCCGTCGGTTGATGAACGTTGTCGCCAGACCACGCCGTCCTGACCGTCCAGTACGACCGATCCTGAAAACGATAGGTTATAAAGAAATTTACAATTCTTACCTATGGACATAATTCTCGATATCGTCGGGCATGTCAAAGTTGAGCACGTGTTCGATGCCCTTGAAATCGAGACCCTTGGAGGCGACGTCTGTCGCGACGAGCACGTCTTTGTCACCGCGGCGGAACGCTTCGATACCCTCGTGACGATCCTGAAATTAGATACAAATAATTTAAACTTATTTAAAATACCAATAAGTTGAAAACTATAGCAATTTCCGCAGATTAGAAAGCTACCAGTATTTCTAAAATACCCCAAAAATTAACTTTGTAGGGTACTTTTGCATTATCGGGGGACCCACTTTTCGTCTTGGGATCTCATTCTTCAATGTAAATAAAAGAAGCGCTTCTAAACTAACTGTTTTTTTATTATTCGAAACGTAAAAAAAGTCACAAATTAAATTAAAAGAAATGCAAAAAATATCAATTTTGGAGCCAAAAAGGCCGATTTTCGTTGAAACGTGCGATTTTTCAAAAAGTTTCAGATTCTTGTCCAGTAGAATAGAGTTAAATTTTACCAAAAAAAACAAATGAAATACTTCCTAATAAGTTACTAGGCCTTTCCAGATTTGTGCAAAAATCCGGTTTCCCCCGATAATACCAAAGAACCGTAAAATGAATCTTTTTAAATCTTCCAAGCGCAGCAAAAACGTTAGCAGCACAAACCTTCTGATCTTTTCCACCGTGTATCGCCGCCGCTTCCACGCCTTTCACAAGAAGATATTCGTAGATGTTGTCGACGTCGAGCTTCTTCTCAGCAAAAATCAACACTCGGGGAGACGTCTTTTGCAGCGATTCGAGCACCTACGATTCAATATAACTCTTGGAAAGAAGTTGCATACCTTGACGAGCTTTTCCTCGCGGCTGACAAACTCAAATTCTTGGCGCACGTTGAGTGAGGCTGCTCCGGCACGGCCCACGTTGACAATGATAGGGCGGACGAGGGCGTTCTTCGCAAAAATTTGAATCTTTTTTGGCATCGTTGCCGAGAAGAGCAGGGTTTGGCGCTGGGCTCTGAAAAAAAAACGGTTTTAAAAGGTTTTCAAAATTTAAAAATATATTGACGTAAAAAATACAGAAACGAATTGCGTTTTTCTCAATCAGGGTTGTTCGAAAATTCTGCCGAACAACTATCAAAAAAAATCGCAACGCCAAGAAAACAAAAAAATTTTTTTTTAAGAATTTCGGAAAATTAGGCCGTGATAAAACGTAAGCATACCTGAAATACGAGAAAATGCTCTTGATCTCGTCCTCAAAGCCCATGTCCAACATTCGATCGGCTTCGTCGAGCACCAGATAACGGCACAGCTGCAGGTTGAAGATCTTCTTTGACAGCATGTCGGACAGCCGGCCCGGCGTCGCGATGCAAATGTGGACGCCTTGGTGGAACATGCGCGCTTGTTCGCCTGAAAAAAAACAAATAATTTTTTAATATGGCAAACGTTATTATGTCATTTATTTAGCAACATAGAACGTGATTAATAAAGTACCTGACTGTTAGCAGGCGGGAAATAATTTTTCCCAAATTTCCCAAATTCTGTACCGACCCTTAGCAAACAATAAACCATTTTTAGATCGTATTTAGATACAAAAACCCCCATAAAAATGATGTAAAATCTCGAAAACTTGGTCAAAAATGTATGAAATATGTCCAAAAACATGCCAAATTTTTCGAATTTTCCTTATTTTTTAAAGATTTTTGCAAAAGGAATAACAAAAATCCGCTTTCCCTGCTAACGGCCCAGCGCCATTAAATTAATTGTTCTCACCTAACGGCTCGCCGCCAATGCACAGCGCGACTCGGATTTGTGCGTATCGGGCTCGGGCCAGCCCGTGGCAAAGATCGCTGACAACATCGTGGATTTGATGAGCCAATTCACGGGAGGGGACGATGACCAGGGCAAATGGGCCTAAAAACAAATGATAAACAAGAGAAAGAAGGGCTCACCCTCTCCACGGTCAAAGGGCAGTGCCGTCTCCTGCTCCAGCGCGAACATGACCATCGGCAGGGCAAAGGTTATCGTTTTTCCGGAGCCTGTAGATGCAATGCCGATCATGTCACGACCGCTGAGAGCTACGGGACAGCCTTGTACCTGAAAAAAAACAATAGAATTTTCATCTTCCCATCGGGCAAAAAATAAACCCAAAATATAGAACTTTTATAGTGTTTTTACGATCACAACTATAATGTAAAAACTGGACTATTTGGAGCATCTTAAAAACACCAACTTTTTGGACAATTTCGTCATTTTACTAAGTTTTTAGACAAACACTATGATTTTCCAATTTTTGTGGTTTTATTGAATGTTTTCCGCATTAAAACAACAAAATAAAACGCTATGAACAAATTTATTATTCTTACGCCCATTTGGAAACTCGAAACTTCGGGAGTAACCTAAAACTCGCTGCTGGAGACCGATTTCGCCATTTTTCACACGTTTTAGACAAAACGCCTAGATTTTCCATTTTTCGTAGCTCTATTCAATGTTTCCCACATTAAAAACCGCATAAAATCATCTTAAAGGGCTGCCGACGGCATGTGTCGATCCCCCCCATCAACAAATTGGCAAGTAGCCAACAGGGGAGAGAGCGCGCCCAGGGGAGAGGCGCAGAGGCATTTTCTTTCCAGCGCGTAACCGATTGACTATGCCGTCGGCATCCCTTTAAGGAAAGCTAGTGGTTCAAAGACGGCTTTTTCGAGCGGTAAGCGTAAAAAATGTTAAAACTCTACCTGAATTGCGGTGGGCACGGTGATGTTCTTCTCACGCAACGCGTCCAAGATGCACTTCGGGTACTTCATCTCCAGGAAGCTGCCAATCGCCGGCGGCGGATCTTCGCCTTCCACTGTGATTCCCCTCTTTCGCCGATTTGTAGCGTGGTCGGTTTCACTTTGTTTTCTAGAAAGATCCACACATGAAAAATCGTTCAAAAATACCTAATGTGATAGGGCGGGCGCCAGCTGGTCTTCAGCGACTGTTCGTAGACGACACCACGCGCCGCTTCGGTGATGGCGAGCAGGGAGTTTTGGTCGTTCAGCGAGGCGAGGATGGCCTCCTCCTCTTGGCGCTGTACATCGACGGGGTCTTGGACGACCTCCTAAATTTTTTTCAGTTGTAAAATCCAAGCCAGGGTTCCAACCTCGGGCACGTCACTGTGTTTCTCGAGCAAACTCTTCTTCTCTTCCTCCTTGGCTCGCTCGGCCTCCTTCCTCTTGCGTGCCTCCTCCTCCTCGCGTGTGGCGTTCTTCGTGCTCGTGCCGACGGTGAGCACTGTTTGCACCAATGCTCGGCGCATCTAAAAAGAAAGATAATAGTTTGCAAAGGCAATCGTTTTCTCTAATTTCTCGCAAAAAACGTACCGCCTTCTCCTTCCGGCGCTTGTGTGCCGGCACGAAGAGGTCCATCTCCAGATCGGACTCGCCGGACGAGAGCAGCCCTTCTCGCTGACGCTTCTTCTCCTCTTGTTCGATTTGTCGCCGGCGGGCCTTGTACTTCTCGAGGCTCTTGGCCACCGTTTCCTGATCAGCCCCATCGACGTCCATTGCCTCTTCTACCATTGTTACCCTGAAAAAACACGTGATGTTTTATAGTTAGAGCATAGCTTCATAGACTGAAAACACATGGAGAAACGACGGCTTACAATATTCATAAAGATAAAACATTTAAATTGGGTTAGAATCGTTGTTTTTATAGTTTTTATGATCGCGCAGAACGAGATTGGCGCGCAGGATACACTAAATTAGCGAAGTAGCTATTTTATCCCGCTGACAACGTTACTATTTCTTTCGATTTCCGCTACTTTCAATATTTTAGTCGCTAAAAACCTAAAGCTTTGCTTGCAACAACAAAAACAAAGCCTGTAAGCTTCAAGCGGCAGCAATAATTGTCTAGGTGCTCTTATCAGTAATATGAAATCCTTTGAAAGAAATTATTCATCGTTCCTGAACGTGTACTTCAAATGCAACAACCTTTCGCTATATGTACACACAAGTTTATTCTTACAAAAATGAGCATAAACAACAACATGTAAATATAGAATGCCACGCGGTAATATGCCAAAATGAGGGGATAAATATAAACCCGGAGTTTGGGGGATTACCGTAATTGCTTAGGGGGACGACTATGGGGGAAAAGTAGAAAGAATTACGAGAGAATAACCATGTCGGGGGGAATGAACGGGGGGAACAGTATTTACAAACCGAAAAAAGGGCAATTATACCGAGGCGTATCCACGGGTGCGGTTGCGGTGGCGGCCGATGAGGTAGGCGACGAACACGCTGACGACGAGGCCAACGAGGAAGCAGCCGACGATGATCGGCACCACGGCGGACGTCTTCGGCTTTTCGGGCTTGTCGGGCTTGTCGGGCTTGTCGGCAGGGCATACCTAGAAGAATATAATGAAAAAGGTTTCTGGCAAAATAGGGCGGAAAATTTGTTACCTTAGCATCCAATTATTCTAGAATAAACCGAGGAACCGTACTCTGCTATTTTTTATTGTTCCTAAACGTAAAAGGTTACAAGTTGGTTGTTATAAGACAGAAAAATCGACTTTTCAACCAGATTTCAAAGTTCAGAACCTTGTTATTAGTTTTCTAAACACTTTTTCGCTTTAGACATGGCTAAATGTGATTAAAATCACTATTAAAATACGTTCTATAACAGTTCTCTAGCAAAAAAATAGACTTCTAGGGAATCTGACTTTGCTAAAGCGTCAAAAAATCTCACGTCATTCTCCAAGTCCTTGGGCCAGACGGGCGCGCTGAAGTCTTCGAAGGCGACGGCGCGGGCTTCACCCAAAACGACTTGCACACCGTCTTCAAAGTTGAGCGGCAACGAGTGGCAGGTGATGGCGTGGAGAACGGCGGCGCTGTACGTGGTCGAGTTGAGAGCGCGTTGGTACAGGCCCGACACGTTGTACTTGGAGGTTGGGTGCACCTAAACGAGAAGCTCAAAAAAAAATAAATATTTTTTACCTCAAGCGTCCAGTTATAAAGCTGGTACTGGTTCTCGCCCTTGATGAAATACAGGGTCAATTTCCAGGTATCATCGGTGGCGTTCTCGAACTGGCCGTCTGAAAAGAAGGATCGTTCGCGATCACAGCATGAAAAATGCATTAAGAAGCAAAAGGAGTCAGAAATAACGCCAAACAACCCTTCAACAAATACCAACCCGGGAAGAAGGCGACGGTCATGGTGTTCGCGTGATGCAAGTCGTTGACGGGGACTACACCGAAGCAGGTGCCGGTGACGGTGGCGTTCACGATATCCAGCGTGAAAGACGTATTGCCCTGCTGGATGCTGAGCTTCGGCTAAAAAAATAATTAAATAAGAAATTTTATATAAATTACAGCATTTCATCACAACCAAAGTAAAAACCCGACCTTTGATTCCACCATCGCGCACACCGAATCTTTCTTCGTCGGATTCTTGACGTACCACAGATCGGCCATCGCACCGACAGCGAGAACGCTGCACAGAAGGAAGAGCTTCATGACTGGAAACTGAAAAAGGGTTCTGTAAAAAGTAAAAAACGAAGAGGAGACGAACAGAAGACAGTCGAATAAACACAAAACGGCCTGAGTCACCGGGAGCCGTCTTCGCCGCGCGCGGACAATAATATAAACAGGCAGTGTTTACGTGACAGTGCATGGCTTCCAGGGCGGAAATCGATTTGATCGGGGGTTTCCGGAAGGCCGGGTATAATGGGTTTGGTCTAGTGTGGGTGCATAAACGTTTGGCGGAACTGTCAAAAGTGCTTTGACGCTAGTTGAAGGTCATGAAGATGGCCGGGTGACCTAATTGCGGCAACTTATTGATTTGAAAAAGATGAAATATTCGAAAAAATCGAAAATCATGAAAACGAATAATGTCGATCCAAGAAGGACATGATTATCATGAAAAAAGCCAGGGATTAAGAAAATGGGATTGTAATGAATATACTCAAACGTTCCTGCTGACCCCGAAAAGAGGATCAATATTTCGGAAAAGCGGGACTAAATTTCTGCAATTTATTGATCAGCAACTTTTGGTCAAGCGTGGCCCCCGATCCAAGGAACAAAAGGATCGGTTATCTTCTAAGAGAACCAAAAATACTGCGAAACTTTGCGAATCCCGCTACAATGCAGCCGAATCTCGATAAAATGTAGAAAGGAGAGTGCTGATCAAATTACTGCACGTTATTCAGCGCAAGGGAGAGACTTACAGGGTTTCAAACGCAGAAACAAGGAAACCAAGCGAAGACGCTATGCCAAGAAGAACTAAGAATACTATGAAACTAAGAACTTCAGGGATTGCGCTAGAATTCAGCCAAATCTAGAGTAAACGTGAAAAACTCCATATAGGCAAGCGACAATGACCAAAACGGAAAATCGATCATTGGTAAGAGGCGACATGCACCCGGTGGTGCGGCCTTTCATAAGGCAAAACGGGGGATGGGGGAACGGGGCAAACAACCCGAAAACAACCAGCCACAGCAGCGTTGCGTAGCTGGGGGTATCTCGCGAGACCGACGTTAGACATCAGGTGTCGCCTTGTAGATGTTGCTGATCACTTCCGGCGAATAACTTCGAGATGTTACTTGGAGCAGTGGATCTTGCGCATTATCGGGGGACTAGCTTTTTCTTAGGATCCAATTTTGCAAATATGAATAGCGAAAGCGTTTCTAAACTGTTTTTTAATATACTCAAACGTAAAAACTTTACAAATCTAGGTTTAGAAATACAAAAATTTCGATTTTCCCACCAAAAATGACCGGGTTTGACAAAAATAGCGTTGCTTTAGAAATTTTTAGATAGCTTTTCTGGTTGAAACATACTGATTTGTACTAAAAACACTAATAAAATACCCTATGAAGCGTTTTGAACTATTCCTAGCATAAAAAATTACAATTGAATTTACAAATAATTTAGAACAAAGAAAGAAAAATAGGTTTCCACTAATTTCGCCCATTCTCGGCCAGTTTAAAATATTTTTAAACCTTTTCGAAGTATTCTAGACAGTTTTTTGGCCTGTAAGTACTGCAAATTTTGTAAAAAAGGTTATTAAAACTATTTGCATGAGGTTACGAGGTAAATCCTGGATTTACTAGCTTCAAACCAAGATAAACAAAACAAACCCTAAGCAAATCAAAAAGAGACAACAAAATCACAATCATCTTTCGACTTTGAAGCGCCCTAACCTCGAGCTCAGTAAGGAAATCGATTTGGAGCACGAACTCTCGTGCTCCAGACAGTAGTAATCAATTAAATTAATTCAAAAACAAAATCAACAGCTTTTACAGATATCAAAAACCGTTCGAGGCATAAAATTATCAAAACCAAGTTTGCGAAAAAATTTATTCAATGAACAAAGCCCGTCAAAAATCAATACAACCGAAAAATACACAATCATTAAAACAAACAAACAAAAAGACTAATTGTTGTCGCGCGTGTCCATGTGGCGCTTCAGCTGCTCGCGCAGCTCCATATTCTCCATACTCAGCCGGCACGCGTGCTCGAGCACCTGAAATGGGAAAATTGACGGGAGAAATAAAACTGGTTCTTTTGCATTATCGGGGGGAGGACTAACTCTTCTTCTTAGGATCCAATTTTTCAAATAAAAATTCCGCAAATAGTTCTTAACTATTTTTTACTATTGCTAAACTTAAAAACTCCACAAATTTTCGTCTAAAAAATACAAAAATATCGATTTTCGACCAAAAATGGTCGATTTTTCACTAAAATCTCGACTTTTTAACAATTTTTAACTTGTTTTAGGATAGTTTTTCGAGCCGAAATATAGTTATTTTTTACTAAAAACACTAATAAAATATTTCCTATTAAGCAACTGGGCTTATCCTAACATATCAAAAATGTCCGATTCTCGAATCTTCTATAATTTTTTATTTTGTTTTAGATAGTTTTCTATCTAATATACCTCCTATTACGTTAATTTTTATCTACCCCCCCGGAAACGCGAAAGGACCTGCAAATTACCTTCGCATTGCTGCCCTCCAGCGCGGCGAGCTGTCGAACCAGATGTGCATTTTCTCCTCGGACCTAAATTACAGTTTTTCTAGAAAAAAAGAAAGATATTGCCTTGGCTGTGGCGGCAATCTGTACACGTCGAGCTTCGAGGGCTTTAGCCAGCCGCTTTTGTAGGGACGCCTAAACAATAGAAAATTAATCGGTTCTTTCGCATTATCGGGGGAGGGCACTTTTTCTAAGGATCCAATTTTTCTGATACAAATAGGGGAAGCGTTTCCAAACAGGTCTTACTATTCCTAAACGTTATTTTCAACTTTACAGGAAACTTTACAAATCTAAGGGGAAAAGCTGCAAAAAAATATCGATTTTCCACCCAAAATGGCCTATTTCAACAAAAAAGTTGTAATTTTTTATTGTTTTTCTACTTAAAGGGCTGCCGACGGCATGTGTCGATCCCCCCTCATCAACAAATTGGCAAGTAGCCAACAGGGGAGAGAGCGCGCCCAGGGGAGAGGCGCAGAGACATTTTCTTTTCCGCGCGTAACCGATTGACTATGCCGTCGGCATCCCTTTAAAATATAGTCCGATTTTGCTAAAAATGGCAGCTTTTTTACTATTTCCAGACGTAACAACTTTACAAATTTCGGCAAAAAAAAAATCGATTTTTCGACAAAGAAATGCAGTTTCGATTAAAATCAGGGCAATAATTTTCCCAGGTTTATTTGTATTGTTTTCCAGTTAAAATATAGTTAAATTTGGTGAAAACATGATTAAAACACTTACGATTAGTTGCTAAGCATTTCTAGAGTTTTAGGAGAAATAGGCCCCCCGGTTAATGCAAAAGAACCAAAAATATGTTTTTTAAAGGATTGACTCAATTTTTTTTCTATCTATAAAACAACGAACCACTTTCGCCCTCATGTCTTCTTCCGATTCGTTGGCCATAGCAACAGGAAGTGATGGCGCCACGATAGGTCGATTCTCATCTTGCTCTTCGGCCAGTGGAGCGGCGGCTACAGGAACGGCTACAGGAATGGCTACAGGCACGGCAACCGGAACCGGTGCGGGTGGCACTACGACAGCAACCGGTACAGCCGGCGGCGGGACAACCACATCATCTAAAAATATGAATCTACATCGAAATACCCAAACAGAACTCGGCCGCCTTGCCGTCAGGACATGCTCAAAATTGGCATGAAAATCGAACCGCAAATGCTGAGAATTGCTTTTTAAAATAGGCGCTTAAAAATAGAATTTTAAATGTTGTAGACCCGTCTAAAAATCGAGATTTTAAACTCAAAGACGCGAAATGCTGGAAATAGCCGTTTTTGCAACTTTAAACTTGTGTATCTCGAGTTTGAAACGTCTGTGGACGCTGCAGAAACAGCGCAATCTATCCCAATTTTGAGCACGAGCTAACAAAATCAGCAACTTTTCGCCAATCTTGAGTAATTTGAGCACGAGCGAACAGAGGCAATTTTTAGAGGCAAAATAAGTAGCGCGTTCGCGTAAAGTCTACATACCAACAGGCTCAGCCTTGACGGTGCGCAGCATCGGACGCTGATTCCCCACGTTGTCGAGCGTCTAGAAAAACAAGATCACGGTTTAGAGGAACTATCACACCTTTTCTTTGGCGGTTGTTGTGGTCGGGGGCGGGGTTTGGTTCCTCTTCCAGGGAAGAGGAGGCACCGGCCGGGGGCAGAACACTTTGGAGACCGATTTCGCCGGGCTCTTCGTCGCTTCATTTGGGTTGGATGAAGCCGTTGGTGGGATCTAAAAGGATATAGCATAGTTTTAACTTCAAGGTATTGGATTATCCGGGGGTCCAAAATTTTTGCTGAATCTAAATTTCCACACATAAATAGCTGAAGCGTTTTGTAAACAATTTTTGATTAAAAAGTACAGAAAAATATAATTTTTTTCCATCAAAAATGGTCAAGTTTTGACCAAAATTTCCATTTTTAAAAAATTTTCGAAAAGTTTTACATCGTTTTTAGCGGAAGTATTTTACTAAAATCAACATAAAACTAATCCTATTAAGTCACTAGGCATTCCTAGGCTTATACAACCCCCCCCCCCACGATAATGCGAAAAAACCCGTACTGGACTGTTCGCGGGGGAGAGGCAGTTAAACCTTTGTTTTCCGTTTACTTCCTTCTTTTTGCTCCTAAATAACGTTTTTTCGTTTTCTAAAGTGGTTTTTGCTTGCCAGAGGGTTAAGAAAAAATTCCATAACCTTTTTTTATGTTTATGTCTAAAAACCCTGTAAAATTCTTCAAAAAAAAAAAAAGGTTTATATTCCGCCATCTGGACGCCCAGGATCCCCCCGCTAATAGTCAATTACCAACAAAAATGTGAAATCCTGAAAATTACCACGTTGAGAAGGGTCGATGAAGCAGCCGTGGTGGTGGTGGTGGTCGTATTTCCTTTCGTTGAACAAGCGCCGAGTTGCGCCAATATCGAAATCTCAGAGGGCGACTGAAAAAAAGAACAATTTTCTACATTTTTACCCGATATAGTTTTCTTAGAAAATAGAAAATATCGATTTTTCTACCTCATAATACATTTTAAGCAGAGTGCCGATATTTTCAATTTCTCTAAATACGTTTTAGTAATTTCTTAAAACTTGCAAAAAATTGGCTAAAAAACAATTAAACAAGATTCTATATTTAAATTAAACTTAATTGCTATGTTCGTGGAGTTTTCGATTAACGGGGGGCTAATTTTCTCCCATAACGCTGTATTAAAAACATTTCGCTAGACTATACTTGCGCTAAAAGTATATTCCAAACCGAAATCTATTGAGAAAACCTCAAAAAATACTTAAAATTCGAAATTTCTGAAAGAAATCGATCTTTGCGTATTTTCAAACAAAATTTAACGATTTTAGGTTCTGGAATCGTAAAAATAGCCTAGAAAATCCTTAAATTTGTATTAGAAAATTGCCCCCCCTATTGCACAAGCACCGCGTTCTGACCTTCTTCGGGATCTTGGGCTCCGGGACGGGCGGCAGAACCGTGTTCAGCGTCACTTGGGCAGTAGAAGTGGTCTTGGCGACGTCCTAAATAGAAATAAATCAAAAGTAAAAAGAAAAACGAAACCTTTGCAGAGGTCTTCGGGCCGGGAGATGCGGTCACCGACGCAATGCGCTTCTTTACGGGAGTTGGAGTCTGGAAATAAAAATAAGAAAATAAAAATTAAGTGAAAGAATTAAACAAGACAAAACAATAAAAAACGACCTTCTTGGCGCTGACGGTCTGATCATCTTCTTGTCGATCAGCGGCTTGCGTTGTCTAAAACGAATGTTATGATGTGTTTGGTTTTAACGTCACATTTTTTTTCAACGTCGAAATTCGGAATTTGCAAAGGTACTTTTGCAGTATCGGGGGGGGGGGGGAGAACTTTTTGAAAAAGTGAAAAATGCCTAGAAACGTAAGTACATACATTTTAATCGTGTTTTGCATTTTAATAGTAAAATATAGCGCTATCTAAAAAAATCTAAAAATTAATCCAAAAATTTAAAAGTCGAAATTTTGATCAAAAAAATTATATTTTGTAGTTTGTTCCTAAAAACATGTAAAGTTCTGATGTTTAGGACCAGTAAAAACAGTTTCGAAACAATTAAGGAGTTTATATTCGAGAAATGGATACTAGAAAAAGTTGCCCCCCCCCCCCCGATAATGCGAAAGAACCCGCTTTAAATTTTTACTTTGTTAAAAAAGTAAAATTTTTAAATTATGGAATTCGGGATTACGAATTTCAACAGTATTATTTTGATGTTCTCCTAGAAAATGAATTCATTAAACGCTACCCTCTTCCTGCAGTTGATCCCTTGCGGCAACACATCAGAACCGGTCGCCATCGCCGGGGAAGAGGATGTAGCCTAGAAAAACATTTCTTGAAGTTTAACAATTCCATACCGAGGCGGCAGGTTTCCGCATGGCCGAGCGAAGGGGCCGAGGCGAGATCTCGGAGCGCATCTAAAAAAATAAGTTTCTATTGCAAAAAATCGAAACCTTTTGATATCCTGAAATCACTCGACGCTGTTTTGTCATGATGTACAGTCGTCGTGCTAAAAAAAAATACGTTTAACTTAACTTTACCCCTTTCAGAAAAATAGGGAAAACATGCGAAGGGAGAGAGAGACTCAGGGAAATCGTGAGAATTCGAGAGAGAGAGAGAGAGAGGAGAGAGAGAGAGGAGAGAGAGAGAGAGAGAGAGAGAGAGAGAGAGGAGAGGGAGAGGGAGAGAGAGAGAGAGAGAGAGAGAGAGAGAGAGAGAGAGAGAGAGAGAGAGAGAGAGAGAGACAGGGGGGAGAGACCGAGATAGAGATCGAGAAAAATGCGGGTACTAGTATACTTTGGGGGGGCCAAAAAATTTTTTGGGCCAAAAATTTCTCATTTTGCACTATTTGTTCAGTTTTTCATGCTGAATCGAATGCACATGTTTCCAGATTTTTATTATTGCAACAACATAAGAATTAGGCAACAATAACAATTACTAGCAGGGGTGGATCTCCTTTACATGCGACCAAAAGTTGAAGAATGGATCGAATGCTTAGGATTAGGCTTAGGCTTAAGCTTTGACCTAGGCTCAGGTTCAGGCTCAGGCTTAGGCTCAGGCTTTGGCTCCTGCTTTGGCTTTGGCTCGGGTTAGGCTTAGGGCTTATCTGCGGCTGGTGCAACGGTATACTATTGAAAAACTATTGAAATTACTTGTAATATAAATAGATAATTATTACTAGAAAACATGATCTAAAAAAATCTGGAAACATTTTCCTAGGATTCAGCACGAAAAACTGAACAAAATAATCGAAAATGAGAAATTTTGGTCGAAAAATTTTTTTGGCCCCCCCAAAGTATACTAGTACCAAAATGCGCGATAATAGAAAAAGTAAAAGTAAAATAAATTAAACAAGAGAATTTAGTCGTGCAAAAACAATATTGGAACCTGATAAAGTCTAAAAATCAAGAACTAAAGTATAAAAGAAACAAATCTCCAATTAAGTCAAAAGAAAACGTGGTAACGAAGAAAAATGCATCAACAAGCTTCCAAGAAAAAAGTTTAGCTTTAGAAGCTTCGTTTGCTTCCGGCCACCAAAGATTGGTGATTACGCAAGTGGGTCAAAAGTCTCTTTATCCTCTAGCTATCCTCCCGCAAATTTCTGGGGCGCTACAAACTTCATCAGACTTCCACGCACACCAATGAAAGCTGAGGAGGGCTCGAATCGCCGCTTTGATGGGCTCACTAATGAAAGCGCTTGGTATGAAAATATCTCAAACAAAGCCAAGAAAAGTTTCTTTCAGCTCTTTCAGCACCAAAATTCATCCAAGGGTAGAGAGGACTTCTGCGGTCAAGCCCAAGAAAACCCAAAAGGCGGAAGCCTAAAATTAGACAAACGTTGGATTCAGCGAACACATCGTCGGATTCCACTGAACTCATGCTCTCCGAACTCTACTACTTTTATAAGGACTTTTCCGTAAAAAATAGCGCCGCGTGTTCGGCAAGCACATTTTCGACAAGGTATCGACGTGACGCGCACGCGCCGAAACGACTCATTTTCGGTGATGGTGCCTTCATCAGACGTGCACCGACGCGTTGCTTGTTGCCGAAACCGAAACATGCCATATGAAAATGCATACTAGATTTGGCCAGGCCAGCGGCATACAAGCGCGTGACGCGTCAGCGCACTTTTGGAGGAGCAGCGGTCCGGGTGCTGCGCGTCGAGGAAAATCTATTTCGAATCCATCGCCAACAATATCCAGAGCCTGCTACCGGCACAAATTTGCCTTTTGGATTATATAGTACGTTGGAAAGACCGCGCGTCCCACAATATACTAATTTCAACGTATTATGAAAAATCAGGGAGCGCGGCAGAAAGCATAAATCATATTCTCTGCCATCGTCCTGCTCCCAAGTACGGTACCTTTTAATTGGTACCTTTTAATTTCAGAAATTCTCTAGTTATTCTATTCTTTTTATTCGGATCTTGAGCATTATCGGGGGGGGGGTCGGAATCTTCCTAACCGTCAAACTTTATAAATTTTTGATTAAAAAAACCAGAATATCGATTTTTCGACCCCCAAACTGGCCGCTTTTCGACCAAACTTGCAACTATACAGTTTTCTAAGTTTTTTTTGCTGTGTTCCACTTAAAATACAGCTACATTTTACTAAAAACACTATTAAAATACCTACAATTACATTACTAAGTATTTCTCGACATTTCCCGAAAAATTGGCCCCCCGATAACGCGAAAGAACCCTATAATTTCCTGGGGGCTATTGGTACGAGTGTTCCCTTTAGTCAGCCACCGACTGCTGCAGGTGGTGGCCAGCTTGACCATGATGAGGTCATTCTGGCGGAATGGCCAGCGGTACTTCCGGAGAGCGAGACACGCCGCCCGCCCAGCGCGCTCAAGGCCTCCCTCCACGACCCGAAAAAGGACGGGGGATTGTACGATCTCGTGGGGCGGCTAGGGTTATTAGTAGTCGGAGACGGCATTTCGGCTGAAGCCCCGATTCACGATACTCGAGATGCCGTTACATCACCACGAAGATCGACAATCACTGGTCGGTGGGTGATTTTTTGCAAACAGCAGTAATATATACAGGGTGTCCCAAAAAAAAAGACACCGGCCGCATTTCTCCATTTCTGGTCCGATCGAGTTGAAATTTCGCACAGAGTTAGCGAAGCCAATTTCCCATGAACACAGAAAGTTTCAGCCCGATCGGCCGGCGGACTTTAAAGTTATGGCACAAATACTTTTTATTTTTTATTTAATATGGGGACTTCTGCAATTTGCATCAATAATGTGCGTAATTTTGTCATTTACGAGCTGATTTTGCATAATTTTTGCCGAAAAATGCCATTTGCAGTTTTGTGCTTCTTAAGAACGATTGCGCATGGGAAGTAAAAATGATCCATTAAACCGCCGTATACAAGAAACCAAGATTGTAACATACGTTTGCCGGTGGATTTAATTTATTCTTCGGCTTACGCGTACGTTTAAAGCCTCGATTTGAATTTAAGCAATAATTTGGAGCAGGTCGAGCGCTGCGTCGGGGACAAGGCACGTCATGCTGACCAAACCTTCAATAAAATGTGTTTTAGTGCTCAAAAAACTGTTGTTTTCACGGTATTTTGTTTCTCATGCGCAATCGATCTTACAAAGCGCAAAACTGCAAATGGCCTTTTTTTTGGCAAAAATTATGCAAAATCAGCTCGTAAATGACAAAATTACGCACATTATTGATGCAAATTGCAGAAGTCCCCATATTAAATAAAAAATAAAAAGTATTTGTGCCATAACTTTAAAGTCCGCCGGCCGATCGGGCTGAAACTTTCTGTGTTCATGGGAAATTGGCTTCGCTAACTCTGTGCGAAATTTCAACTCGATCGGACCAGAAATGGAGAAATGCGGCCGGTGTCTTTTTTTTTTGGGACACCCTGTAAACTACAATTATAAAAAGTAATAAATTCAGAATTCAAATAACTAAAATATAAAGTGTTTTAATTCTGTTTTTAATAAAATTTAAAAATTTCTGATGCTTTTACAGTTTTAAGTTGCTTTGCCAGTATCGGGGGTGATAAACTTTTTCCTGTAAGGACAGAAATGCTTAGAAGTGTAAAAGTAACTTTAAAAGCCTTATTAGTAAAATCGAACTAAATTGTAAGACGAAAAACAATTAAAAAAAACTTAGAATATTTTTTAGCCGAAAATTTTATCGAAAATCGGCCATTTTTCGGCGAAAAAGCACGAACTTTTTTGCACTTTTAATGAAAATTGTAACGTTTTTAAGTTTAGGAATAGTAAAAAAAAATTTAAAAGAGTTTGTATAATTCTAAAAGAAAAACGAATCCTCGGAAAAAGTTGCCCCCCCCCGATAACACGAAAGAACCTTTTTTCCAAGACGGGGACCAGTGGAAAAGGGCCGCGAAGCAGTCTTTTTCTGCTGGTTGATAAATAAAATAGAAATTTGAATAAAAAATAGGGAAAAGGATATAAATTTAACGATATTCAAGACACTGCCCCCTGAACGGCGCCCTTTTTTAGACACGATCACGTTCCTGGAGACGGAGGTCTCGAAGCTGGCCGTGGAGAACGAGGCATTGCAGCGGGACCTTGTAAGCTCGAGATTTAATCTGCCCTTTCCTCGTTTCATTACATTGACCCTTAAAGAAGCGCTTCGACCGTGAGCGTCGATCTCTCGAATCGAGGAGCATCAGCAGCCAGCGACAAATTGCCGATCTGGTGGGTCATCTAGAGGGAAAAGCCAAAATTTTACAAAGATTACTAGGATAAGCAGATCTAAAAATTGCCTAAAGTTTTACCACATTTTTTAAATTTTTGATCAACTAGGTGCTTGCGCAATATCGGGGCGGGGGGCAAAGTTTTTCCTCAAAAGTCCAGAAATCCTTAGTTACGTAGTATTAGGTATTTTAATCGCGCTTTTTAAATAAGCCTTTTAGTAAATTTTCACCATCTTTCAAGTCGGAAAGCAAATAAAAAACTTTAAAAACAATTTTCAAATTCAAAACTGGTCGAAAATTCACATTTTTTGCAATTTTATTCAGATTTGTAAAGATTTTACATTTATAAAAAGTGAAAATTTCATGCAAAATAATACAAAAGTCTATTTTTTAAGTTGTTTTAGCAATTAAAAACCACTAAAACTATAAAAGTACGCTGAAAAACGCTAAAAACCTTGCTCGGCAGCTCCCCCCCGCTAACCGTACAGAACCGGAAATTTCCATGTCTTATTTAAGGAGAAAATGCTGAGAATGCGAGATGACCAGCTTGAGCGTGCCGATCGGGTAGGAGATGATAATCTATGACAATTGTCATTTTTAGCACATTCGCGAGTTGTCGGAAAAGGTGCGCGATCTCCAGGAGGATCGTCAGGTAATTTTCTCATAAAAAATATTGTTCTAATGTTGCGCCCCTTTTCTAGCACCTCGACCATGATATCCATCACACCGAGGATCGCTACGAGCGCGAATTACAGGTGAAAACTTAGGCCTAAATAATTATATAAACAGCAAAAAGACCTAAATAAATTAAATAAATTAACTAAAATAAACATCATTAAATCATGCTAATTTAATCGCAAAGAGCTACGAAAACTTATATTTTTAGGTGGCTGAGCGCAAGAATCGACAATTACGCGAGCGTATCGATACGCTGGAGGAGACCTGTACGAGGCTAAAGGTATTCTAATAATGGCTATAGCTTTAATCTACTAAGATTTAAACTGTAACCACAATCGAATAAAGGCCTTCTAATATTTTATCAGATTTAACTAATCAAAATTGGTTTCTAATACAGCCGTTCTAATTTAATCAAAGTCGGAAAACTTCAGAAATCGTATTTTAGAAAGAACGGGATCAACTGCAACAACAGCCGCTTTCCCTCGGCAAATCGCACACGGTAATTTTACAGCTTAAATTGTTTAAATACATCACATTAGCTGAATTAGTAATTTAATAATTTGACAATTTAACCACTTTATTTCCCAGGACGTAGCCGATGATCTGCTTTTTGTCCGCGAGCCGAGCCACGCTTCTATAAAGGGCTACAACACGCCAAACGGCAATTTACCGCGGTCAATGAGTTATCAGGTAAATTAATAGTAATGAGAAAATTTAAGTAGGTTTAAAGCGCTAAATTTGATACATTTTGAAACTCTAAAAATGCAAAAATGAGTGCTAAAAACAACGAAAAAATTTAATTGAAATTTAGCTAGAATAAAAGCTTCAATTTACTTGATTCTTTTGTATTAATTCGATTCAAAATAGCCGGGATAAGCCATTGAAAGCCCTGCCATTTCCGCCGCCTTTCGGACCCCTCTTTCTGTGTTTTTCTTTCCCCTCGACGGGGCCAAGGCCACTCTCTCCCCCGCCCTTCCCACCCCCTCATCGCCCTTCTCCCTCTATCAGCCTCCCCCATGCCAGTCCTCCCGTGTCCTCGGTAGTATAGTGGTGAGTATCCGCGTCTGTCACATGCGAGACCCGGGTTCAATTCCCGGCCGGGGAGAAACTTTTTGCGTTTTGGTCCAAATGAAGTTCAAGGCATCGAAAACAGTTTGTAAAGCTTTTTGGGTGTTCTACAATTTTAGGCATAATTGTTTTTCGATGTAGATCGATTTTCTATTGGCTAAAGCCGTTTCCTAAAGGTTTAGAAATTTCGATTTTTGTTGGAGCGTCGCTTCTTTAAGATTATTAAAATTGCCCCTAAAAAGTTCCAGATATTTAAAATATCCTAGAATCTTTCGAAAAGTGGCTTTTCCAGGAAAATTGAGTTTATTATAACGAGAAACGTTGCCAACGCTTTTAAGGTGTTTTAGACTTTAGAAAATCGTCTTTTTCGACCAAATTCAGTTTTTATTATCGAAAAGTTTTCAAGGATTTTCAAATGTAAAAAAAATCGTTTTTACCTTTAGAAAATTAGCTTTTTAGCCAATCGCCAGTTTAGGTTATATTAAACCGTTTTCAATATTTTTTGTCTGGCTTAGAATCGTTAGAAAAATTGGCTTTTTCGTTCCGTTGTTCAAAAAGTTTCCCACATTCTTTTTGTATTTTAGAATCTGGTGCGCCCTCACCCGTGCAGTTGCCAATACCAATGGAATTGATTGTCTCGTTGGCTGTACCCGTCATCTTTATTGGCAAATTTGTAACGTGAGAAAATGAGATAATAAACATGCGCTGACCTCTTGAAAGCAGCGAATGGCTATTCGTAACCGTCGAGCCGTCCGCGTTTCGTCACTTCTGCCGGGGGCGGGGAATGCTTGCGGATACGGCGCTGCGCGTCTTCCGGTTTTGCCGCGTTGGCTCCGAATCCTGAAAAAGGGTCTGTAAATCGAATAAATTTTATCTTATTGGAGGTTTGCCTAAATCGAATACAGTGTTTTGGCGTTGTTTTTTAGAAAATTCGGCTATACTTGGAAAAGAAAAACCTCAGAAAAGCTCAAAACATGTTTGAAAAGTCCAAACTGCAGCATTATGGTTCGAAAAGCTATTTCTCGATCTAAAGTATAATTTTTTTAGCTAAAGTATGTAAAATTTGTATTATTAAAAAAGCTAGGGTTCTGGGCTGTTAGCAGGGGGTGGTTTAGTAAGAAATACGGGAAAACACCAATTTTTATTTTTCCATCCACACGAAACTGTAAATAATAAATCTTGCTTTTTCTGATGTTTTTCGTAGATTTTCATTGCTAGAAAAATACAAAAAACTGTAAAAATTTTTTGAAAATTCGCAAATTTTCTCTTTTTGTGGTCACTTTTCGGTTTTCTTTCTTTTTCGACAAAATTCGTCAAAAGTCAAATTTTCGAAAATTTTTGTACTTCTTCTGAGCTTTTTTATCTAAAAGTACATGATGTACTAGGAAAAAATAGTTCCCCCCTGCTAACAGACCAGTACCGATTTTTTTTCAAAAACAAACCTGCATCATAGTAGCTGGAGCCCGGCATGTAAATCGACGTGTCGCAGCCCTCTAAAAACACAAAATAGAAAAATTAGACGAAAAATTCGTACCCGGATCGTTGACCTCCTTGAGCAGGTCGACCGGCTCCCAGCCCTCGGCGCGCACCTTCTTCTGCAGGGCACCAAGTACGGCTTGAAGTTGGGCGTGGGAGGACTGAAGCGAGAAAATGGAAATAAAAAATAGATAAACATTTTTTACCTTTGCGCCGTCGTGGCTGATGTAGTGCTTGCGGCAGATGCGCACCTCCTGGAAGCGCTTCTGGCTGCAACGGATCTCGAAACGGGGCGGGAACGGCTTCTCGAGGAACTCAGGAACGAATCTGAACAAAATAGTCATAAAATTCGCCAAAAAATCGCAAAAACCGATAAAAATAAATTAGAATAAAGATTCTTTAGTTTCCCGAAACGGCGTCTTTTTCAAAACTTTTTTTTATAGGGCTTTGGGGTTACAATGTTACAATTCATCAAAAAAATAACGATTTTCCGCGCAAAATTCCAGGTTCTTTCGCATTATCGGGGGTGGCGAGAACCGAAATTTTTTGTATAAGACTAGAAATGTCTAGTAATTTTACGCCAAGTATTTTATTACGGTTTTTGGGTAAATATAGCTCTATTTCAGCCAGAAAATATCTAAAAACGTTCCAAAACGTAGTATTAAATCTATATAATAAAATGCCCACCCTCCGTACGTGTCGAACATGGAGACGAGCTGCTCGCAGTAGTCGCAGTCGACGCACGTGATTATCGACTGGAAAAGGGGAATTTCAGGAATGGCATTAAGGACCCACATAGCTGCCCTTGTTGATGAGGAAGCGCTCGGGGATGTGGTGGGCGCAGAGGCGGAATCGTGGCGGCACTTCTTGGCCCAGGAAGCGCGATACCGCCTGCCTGACCAGCTCGAGCTGGATGCGACACTCCGGGGCGTAGGCGGCGCTGCAGTACGTGCACTTTTCCTGAAAATTCGATAAAATAACTTGAAATAAATAATTTAAATATACCTGAATAACACCAGGCGCATAGTGGCGTAGGCAGACGTAGTACGAGCCGGGCGGAGATTGACGAACACTAAAAATATGTTTTAATCTTAACATATGGACGAAAATAAGGTTCTTTTGCCGATCGGGAGGGGGCTACTTTACTTTAAAGTTCCATTTTCTAATATCAAAATAGAAGAAGTGTTTTTAAACCAACTTTTTAATATACCTAATCGTAAAAAACTAATACATATTTATTAAAAATACAAAAATCTCGATTTTCATCCAGAAATTATTGATTTTCGGCCAAGATTTCACACAAAAAGTTTCTCTAAACTTTTTTATTGTTTTTGCCTTCTTGAATAAAGTAAAATTTTCGACAAAAACCTATTACGTCGACTATCAAATATATTTTTTCGACCCGAAACCGGCGATTTTTGCTCAAATTTAACCTTAAAAAAATCCTAAGTTCTTTTTTTGGATTGTTTATCCCTCCAAATATAGCTCTATTTTCCTAAAACCACTATTAAAATACCCGTCACAAAGTTCATACATCGGTCTACGCTAGAAAAACTCGCCATTCAGCCAACTCGTCGGAAACGGTCCTCGGCAGCTCATCCTCGCTCATAATGTGCTTCGCCGCGCGCGGGTCGCACACGCTGAAGCAGTGCGCACAGTAGACGCAATCGATCGTCACCTAAATTTGGAAAATATATCAATTAGGGGAAAAACAAGCATATAAATAGATTTTTAAGAGTTTCAAAAACAGAAAATTCCCGTACCCGACTAAATCGGCCATTTTCATTCGTAGAAATTTGGCGAAAGTTGACGTTGATGTCGCCCTTGAGGATGCCTTGGGGGAAGTGTATCCTAAAATCAAAAATTTTTGGGTTTTGGTTCGTTAGCGGGGGGGGCATTTTTTTTGTCAAAAACCTTCTCTTCAATTACATTATCTTGAGTTTTGTATAACACCCTTTGTTTACTTTTTGCTGCTCTGTCAAATAGCGTCGAGAAATATCGAAAATCCCGAAACCCCATTTTCAGGATAATTTCTGCTTTCGTTATCATTTTCTTAAATTACTATTTATTAAAGTAGTAACCAAAAAATCGTGAAATATTAAAAAATCTACGACAAAAAAAAACTACAAATAACTGCTCTCGCTAACCAACCAGAATAAAAATTTTAGATAAATAAATTGAATCCTATACCTGCACATGCGAACGCCCTCCACCACCGGCGCGGCGTCGTTGGAAAAAGCGGCCAGCGCCTAAACCAGGTTCTGTTTATTCGTTTTTCCTGAAGCCTAGTAGAAAACATATAACAGAAAACGCCCTCACCCGTCCAGACGCCTCATTTGCGGCCGTAATCCACGGCACACCGACACGACCACACAACCGACAAGTGTCCTAGAATTAACGTTTACTAAATTGAAAAATGGCTACCATCAGATTGACATTCTGTAGGTACATCCGCTGACCGCCTCTAGCAACCGGAATTGTTTTCGTCTGAAAATAGTTAATGAAAATGAAGCATCAAAAACCTCGGGATAGCAGACGTCGTTCATCGTGATGATCATTTCCACCTGAAAATTTAATTTTAGCGAGAAAAGAACAAATTTTATCAGTTTTTAGTCAAATATAACTATATTTACACCAGAAAAACTATCTAAAAACTTTAAAAAATGTTCAAAAAGTCGAAATAAGCAGCCATTTTTGGTCAAAATCTATATTTTTTGTATTTTTTTCACAAAAATGTGTAAAGTTTTATGTTTAGAAACGGTAAGAAGCAGTTGAGGAACTTTTTTTACCTTTGTGGGCTCCGGGACGCCGGTGGTGTTGCTTTCCGAGATGCCGAACCAGCTGGGCTTCTGGTGTGCAGTGCATATCCAAATTTCCGGCGTTTTCGGCGTCTCTTTCTAAAAAAGTTCAAAAAGTTATCTATAAAACGTAATCTTACTCGTTTCTTCTTAAACTGCGCCAGAAAGAAGCCGGGGATCGGGAGCTCGTCGGCCAGATGCGTGTCGTAAAACTCGGCGCCGGCAAAGTTCATGATCTGAAGCAGATTTATCGGTTTTTTCGGATTATCGGGAGGACCAACTTTTTTCTAAGGATTCCATTTTTTAATATAAATAGAAGAAACGTTTCTAAACTTTTTTAACCTCCCAAACGTAAACACTTTACAAATTTTGCTAAAAAACAAAAATATAGATTTTTTGACGAAAATGGCCGATTTTCGAGCACCATCTCGAACAAAAACCATTTCCAAGTTTTTATTTTTATTTTTGCGCTTAAAATATAGCTCAAGCTCAAATCTACTTACCTTTGTGGCATCGTTTCGCGGGACCACAGAGCCGCAAAAGCAGCAGGGCACGATTTGAGGGTCCATGGAAGACGCCTAGAAGGAAAAGGATACTTTATAGCAGACCCTCAATGGTAAAATTCAAAGAACGAAATCCGCACGGCTCCATAACTAAATTGGTTTATAGCATTTTACACACATCCACCACTGATAAAAATTTGAAAAAATTTAGGAAATGACCAAAAAAATAGCAGGTGTTTTGATTTTCAAAGCTGCCCGGAACTTTTTTTGTAAAAGGCTGCTGTGATAAATCTAGCCTCCATGGTTAACCGCTTTTAATCATACGTTTATCCTTCTTTTATAAAGCCAAAGAATCATTCTACAGCGCGCCCCATCCCATTACGCGATGGGTAAAATTTCGAACCCCCGGGGTAGGGTCACGGTAGCCGATCCGTGCGCTAGCAGCTAGCAGCCCCAAAATGTGGCTCTGGACTGTTAGCGGAGGGGGGACCGAATTTTTCCTGTAGTTCTCTACGTAATAACGACCTATAGACAATTTTTGATAGAATTTTACATAGTTTTTATATATAAAAACACTATAAAAATCATAATCAGTTTCGAAAATATTTAACTTTTTGGTAAGTCTATGAAAAATGTTAACAATTTTTGAATTTTCAAAATAAAAAGAAATATTTTTTACAACTTTTAGTGCTCAAAAGACTATAAAACATTATATTTCACTAACAGGTAGGGATAGATGGAAAAACAAAAAGTTGTCCCCCCGCTAACAGAATGGAACACAAAATGTGGCAAAGGATGCAGGAAGCGCACCTCTACAATATTTTTATGTATTTTTACTAGCTCATTTGCAAGTATCACGAAAACAATCACCATTTATTTACGGAGAGCTCGGGTAGTAGATAGATGGATAGAGAGAGAGAGAGGAGAACGGGCTTCAAATAGCGATACAGCAACCCGACGTTCAAAAGATCATTGCCAACGATATAGGAACGTGAGAACAAAGGGAAACTTGGAAAAGTGGAATTCACAAACCAACAAGTTTAGGGATGGATTGGGAAATGTTATAACAGGGGGATAAGGTGGGCTATTCGTGCTTGGCTCGCTTGGTGGCAACGGGGTCGTCGAGTTCCACCTCCGAGCTCGCCTCAACTTCAGCGCCATCTCCATCGGCATCCGGCTGCGAGGCCTGTTCGCTGTGGCCATTCGCCGCTTCTTTCGGCGGTTCAGGAGATCCTGAAATGAATATTGAAATCACTAACAAAATCCAAAATACGATTCTAAATAACGCCTAAACCTTCACACAGGTACTTTTGCATTATAGGGGGGAGACAACTTTTTTAAGACTAAAATTTTGCTAATAAGTAACGAGGAAGTGGTTCAAACTGTTTTGTACTATTCCTAAACGTATAAAACTTACAAATACCTAAAAAATGAACCTAAAAAAGCGATTTTCGGCCAAAATTTGCCACTTTGTCACGTAAAATTTCACTAATAAGATATGAAAACAGTTACTATTATGTTACTGGGATTCCTGGATTTGTAGAAAAAAGGCCCTATTGAATAAGATCGCAAAAGTCTATTAGGAAGAAAACAAGAGCCCCCATACGAACCTTTCTTCTTGAAGACAAATACCAGGTACATGGAGACGGCTTCCCACTCGGGCAGCGACAGTGTTCCCTGAATTCAAGCAGCAAGTGAGAAAATCCACCAAAAACTGACCAATTTGAAGCACTCGAACATCTTCTGGTATGCAGCTGCCTTCTCGTAATCGTCGGGGCCACCGGATGGTTTGTCCTTTGGGTAGAGCTCAAGTGCCCGCATACGGTCCATCATCTGGAGACCTGAAAAATTCATATTTTTCCCGTGGTAAGAAAGCAACGATTTTCGGGGTTCTAGGCGGTTAGCAGGGGGGGGCTGATTTTCTCTAGTAATTCCGTACGGCCCTCAAACGAACAACAAACCATTTTTATAGAATTTTAGACAGTTTTTAGGTCTGAAACGCATCTTAAAAAATTCTAAATTCCAAATTTTTTGATTTTTTTTTTTGGTAAAAAAATGAAAAATGCACAAAATGTCAACATTTAAAATTTTTAAGATAATTTGATGACTTTATAACAATTAAAATTCTAAAAACACTAAAAACATTATCAAACAGGTAAAAATTAGTCTTCCCCGCTAAAAACCCAGCGCCCTTACCGTCCGGTGCATTCTTGTAGTGGTTGATGGCGTCGGGGAACGGCATGTGCATCACCAGCTCCATGTCGAGCTCTTCGAGCATTCTAAAGCGCGTAAAATGACGATAAAATGATAGATCTTACTGGACGAGCAGCGGGAAATGGCAGAGGAACTCCGGGCAGTTCACCTAAACACAAAACGACGCTCAAACCTCAAAATCGTACTTGTTCATCCAAGGTGAAGTGGAATTCAGCGCCAAAGAGCGGCGGCGTCGCGCCGTTGAGAATCTCCTTCGGGTTGGAGTACTTGATCGAGCAGACGCTGTTCTTGAATTCACCGTTGCCCTGTCGTGCTGCCCACCTAAAACTGTTATTCGAAAGCACAAAAGAGGAGGTAAATCCAAAAATGAAACCTACACGATGCGGTTGGCGTCCGGCAGCGTGCCGATGAAATAGCCGCCCGGGCGCAGACGCTCTGTGCAATTGGTCAGGAATCTAAAAAGCAAGTTTCCGGCTGTAAGGTGAAAATTACGTCCTGGCTCCCTGCTCGGAGATGAACGAGTAGTGGAGCGCAAATTGGCAGCTGACGAGGTCGAACGGCGTGGGGTCGTCGTATTTCTCGGCCAGCAACTCCTAAAAATCCGGCTTTTCTACAAAAAAAATCTAGTTTCGGTCCTCGCCGAAAGCCGTTTGATAGCAAAATCGATAAATAAAGGCCAGAAACGCGTTTATCATGAAAGTTAGGCGGCGAACAACTTTAGGAAGAAAACTGGACATGACGCCGACTGAGGCAAGGCATTTCTGACCAAATCCCGCCAATTTTCTTAGGGTTTTTGTGCCAAAAAGTCGTCGTTTTCTACACGTTTGGAATTTTTGCAAGTGTCTTTATCTTAAAACAGTGTAAAATGCTGTGGAAATTGTTCCAATTAATCAATTGTTTCGCTCCTAAAAGACCATCGCAAAAAATCTGCCTTGCTCACTCAATTCCTAAAAAGCGTTCTTCGCCACCTAACTTTCACGATAAACCCGCTTCTGGCCTCTATTGATCGAATTCGACCATAAAACAGCTCTGTTTTTCTCAAATTTACCTTCGTGCAATCGGCGACGATGAACTGCGCCGGAAATTTGCCCTGGCCGCGTGCTCGCTCCTGTCCCTCGTCGTAGCGCCCCTTCGCCTGCTCGATGGACACATCGGCAACATCTAAAAACTATTTGAAAGCTATGAAGGGCAAATTTACCGGCAAAAACGGCGCTGCTGACGAAGGCGTTCTGCCACTTGCGCAAATCTCCTCCCTTCCCGCAGGCGATGTCAAGCACACGTGGGCGAGGCGTTCTTGCGCGCTTCAGCCGTTGCGAGATGTCAGCTGAACAAAAAAATTTACGGTTTCTTGCAAGGACTCACTGATGAGCTGCGCCTTCAACCAGTTGTTCATGTTGCGCATGTAAAAGATGCGGCTGTTCTCGCGATCCTCGATCTTCTGCTGCGGGACGGCATTGTAGTGAGCGGAGACCTCCTCGGAAGTCATTTTCTGCTGAAAAAAACTTATTGTAAAAACGTTGGTGGGCTTTCAACGTTTCAAGAGAAATTCACGATTATTATGGGTTGCTTAGTCCATCGTTAGCACAAGAAAAGTAAATACGTCAAAATAGATAGTTTTTTCGCATCATCGGGCTGGGGGAAGCGGCTTTTTCTTGCTAGAATCTAATTTTTCAAATAGAAATAGAGAAAGCGTTTCTAAACTGTTTTTACTGTGCCTAAACCTAAACACCTGACAAATTTGGATTAAAAATACAAAAAAATGGAATCGTAGAACAAAAATTCGAATTTTCGGTTTTTAGATACTTTTCTAATGGAAATCTAGCTTGATTTTTCTGAGAACGTTATTAAAACACTTCCAACTAATTTACTAGGCATATCAAGACTTACACCCCCCCGGCAATGCAAAACCACCAAGGGCTCGTAAATACGGTTTTCAAAGTAATTTCGCGCGTAATCGGCGCCGTATATCGAAAGTTACAAAAGATTGATACCAATCAAAAAACCCGAGCTGTTTAGTCTAAAGACGTGAGATACCGTCAAATTCCCCGCTTCTTCTTCCACCACTAGAATCGCACCGAACAACGAGGGGGAAAATAACATTGAAGGCTTCGCGACAATTTCCATTGGCCAGTTACACAGTTTGAATGGACGAACATTTTATTCAAGTCAACACTTAAGATAAATTTTAAGGCATTGAATGGCACAGGGGCGCCACGTTAATACAGCCCCCAATTCTTGCAGGTGCTAATTAAATAGAAGAGATCCCCCAGAGACGACCCGAGTACAAAGATTAAATGCATCACAAATCAAAGGTGGGGAAGGGGGGGAGGTGGACTGAATTAAGTCTTGGCCTCGCGGGCAAGGAAGTCAATAGCTTCATCGGTGCGACGGCGGAACGCGCCGTCGTCCTTGACCATGTCGATCAAATCGGAGACGGGCAGGCCGTACAGCAGGAAACCTAGAATTGGCAAATGAGGTACCGGATTGAAACAAAAACTTGAATTGTCTCGATAAAAAGCCATTTTTTGCCAAAATAACATTGAGAATTCAAGAATTGCGAAAAAAGCGTCTGTTCCAGTTTTTGCCTGTTGTCACCCTCAAATTTCAGCCCTTTCGGTCAATCAAAACACGGCATTTCAAAATAAAGCTTACCGGTCACTTTGCGTGCCAGTTCCTCGGTCAGCGACATGGAATTGCGAAGCTGGTGGTTGATGCGCTCGCCGAGCAGGCCTTGTTTCACCTAAAAACAAGCAGATTGCCCTGATTTACTTTTATCAACATTGTACGAACAATGATTTTTCATGGCGTAATCAACTCCGATGTTCAAAAGGCTGTTTTTCAATCATAAAAGGTTTTTCGAAAGGTTATTGTGTTGAAAATGGCCCAGAAATGTGCAAAAAACGCCTGTGGCCTCGAAACCTTTTCTGAGCTTTAAAATCGCAGTTTCCCCACTTTTTCACCAAATTTTTCCTGTTTAGTCTCCGCATTTCCCTAGTTTTCGAAGCAAAACAAATGGAAATCGCAAAAATTATTTTCGTTGCTTTTTGATCTGCGCCAACCCAATTTTTGACATTTTCAAATTGCCTCCGACAATAAAAACCACGTTTCGCACCATAAACTTTTACAACCAGATTTCGGAAGGCAGTGAAAAAACGTACATAAGGAAGCGCAATGGCTACACGCCGGCAGAAGGCGTCGAGGGGCTCGGTGGCCGGGTTGTCCGTCTGCTCGACGGGCCTCGTGCTCGCCGGGTTCTGCGGCAGAACTTTTGGCGGATGCTCGGAATCGCGGTTGAACCTAGAAAAAAAAGTATTATACTCCGCGAAAACCCAAAAAACATACCCGCCAACTTGGACGACGGCGCGGTTTTGCGGGTGAGCGTACTGTGGCTGTACGGGCTGGGCGTAGCCGGCGAATCCGACGCTCGGGGCCTGCTGGATCTCGTATACAGGTAGTGGTACATATTGAGGGGTGATGAGGGTGGGGCCAGTCTGGTAGGGCGGCACGACGTTGTTCACGCGCTAAAAATACTTGATTATAATGAAGAAAAAGCAAATTTTCACGGATATCTTATATTTTCCGTCGAAAAAAACAAACATTTTTTCGGGCTAAAATGACCAAAAAATTAAAGTTTTTCGTTTCGTAACCAGTTATCAGAAATTTCGTGAAAGCAATCATTTTCTACGAGTTTTAAAAACGGGTTTCTGTCTAAAATATAGTGGAATTTTGATAAAAAGTCTAGAAAAAGTAGAAATAGTAAAAAACCTACAGCTATCTGGCTTTGCGCAAAGTAGCCGCCGCCAATCTTCGGCATCGCGTTGATCTCGGCGAGGCGCTGCTGGGCCTGCGTGCTCATGTACTTGGAGGCGAGCAGGCTGTGGCGGTCGTCTTTGCGCTGGGCCACGGCGACGTAGAGGCGCTTGCCGAAGAAGAGCGTGTTGTTCATCTTGTTGACGGCGCGGCAAGCGGATTCCGGCTGTTCGAAGCAGACGAAGCCAAAGCCCTTGGACGAGCCCTTTTCATCAGTCATCACCTGGAAACTGGCAAATAACTGCATTAACACAAAATGGAGCAAATTTTGGATGCAAAAAATTCACAATATCGGCATTTCTTTCTAAGCTATTTCGGAGATTTTCCGGTCATTTTTTTTGGCAAAACTGACACCACTAAAAAGTTATCATTTCCGCCATTTTAAGACACAATCCAAAAAATACCTTCGCCGAGGTTATCGGCCCGCAGTTCATGAAAATCTCGTACAACATCTTGTCGTCGATGCCCTCGCCAATGTTCTTGATGTAGATGTTGGCGCCGGCCTGGCGAGCCGCCTCGTACTGTCGCTTCAGCTCGGCCGTGCGCTCTTGCTTCGTCTGGGCGCGGCAGACGTGGAGCATCAGGCTGGAGCCCGGCAGCGACATCCCATTCCAGGCAGCAATGGCTCGCTTCGCGCTCTCAGGGTCCTTGTAGGCGACGAAGCCGAATCCCTTCGACTTGCCGAATTCGTCGCGCACGAGCTTGCAGCTGATGATCTCGCCGTACTTGCCGAACATCTGCTTGAACTTGGCTTCGTCCAGCTCGTTTCCAAAGTTCTTGACAAAGATGTTGGTGAAGGAATTCTCGGCTTCCCTGAGGCGACTTGTGCGGGACAGATATTTCGCTGCGCGGACCTAAAAAAAATATAAAATAAAATAATTATAAGGTTCTTTCGCATTATCGGGGGAATATTTTTACAAATCCAAAAATGCCTATTTACTTAATAGGGAGTATTTTATTAGTGTTTTTAATAGAATTAACCATATTTAAACCAGAAAAACCTTTTGAACAGTCGAAAATTAGGTAAGAATCGACCATACGTTGAAAAATCGATTCTTTTTTTCTTTTTTTTCAAAATATTGTAAAGTTTTTACGTTTCAGAATTTTTAGAAATATTTTAAGAAACTATTTAGAAACACAAACTTCCGCTGTTTCTACCTGACAAATTTCATCCTGAGAAACAAATCTGATTTCCTTCCCCCACCGATAGCGCAAAAGAATCAATCAAATTTTATAAAACAAAACCTTTCGTCCGGGCGACCCGTCGACGTTTTTGGCGTTGACGTCAGCAATTGCCGCGTCCGCATCCTGTTCCCTCTCGAAATGGATGAATGCGTAGCCCTTGCTGTTGCCGTTATTGTCGACTGCCAACTAAAATGCAAAAGTATTGATGAAGCGAACAAGTATTTCCTCACCTTGCACGAATACACCTTTCCGTACGTCGAAAAAGAGTCGTGGAGGGTTCGCGTGTCGACGTGCTTGTCCAGGTTGCTGATGAATATGTTGCCGGTGGTGGATTTCCTCTTGGACGGGTCCCGGTTGACGCGCATTATGCGCATCGGGCGTGCGCGCAGCGGCTCAAAGTTTAGCTGCTGCATCGCTTCTTCAGCTAAAAAAATGGGTAAAATAATGTTGAACCAAAAAAATAGGATATTACAAACATAAAAAAACCGACAAAAGGCGATCTTTGGCAAGTTTTTACGGTTGATAAATTCCCCAGGCAAAACTCAGCATTCCCGCGTCTAATTTTGCAACTACAAATAGTGGTACTGTTTCTAAATGGTTTTTAGACGTGAAACTTTTACAACATTTATTAAGAATGTCAAAATAACGATTTTTCCACAAAAATGGTCATTTTTGACCAAAATTTCCACTTTCTAAACGTTTTTCGACAATTTTTCTAGTTGAAATATACTTATAGATTATTAGAATCCTAGCTTTTAAGTTACTAGGCATTTCTAGACGTCTACAACAAAATTCGGTCACCTCGCCCGGTGCGAAAATACCGCCCATTTTTAGTTTTTTAAAAGCGTTCATATCTTTCCATCTTTGCTAAAAGAACTAAAAGTAAGGAATCATTTGCTTTTTTGAAGAAAATAGCTTTTTCAAAACGATATTAGGCTTTTCATCAGACTCAAAGCCGATAGCCTAATCCCAAACAACATTCCCAGAAGCAAAATAATACCGACCAGCGGCGGCGTCCTTGAAATTGATGTAAGCGTAGCCGAGCGACTTCCGGGACACGGCATCACGGCAGACACGCACGGTGACGACCTGGCCGACGGGGCTGAACTTCTCGAAGAGCTCGGACTCGGTGACGTCGGGGTGCAGATCGCCGACGTAGAGCGAGGCATTCGGCGTGGACGCGGGGTAGGGGGACGGCAATCTGACCATCTCGGCGCCCCTCAGATCTGCCATCTCGTGCCCTGAAAAAAAGATGTTCATCATCGCCCAGCGGAAGAAACCGAGACGGACAGCGGAAAGGACAGAATGCAGTGGTGGAAAACGAAGGTTAGGGTGCGTCACAAAAATCGTGCATGTAAATTTCGTTCATTTTTGCTAATAAGGAGAGCTGTTCAGCGACAATCGAGTTTGCACACGGAAACAAGTCTAGATTGTGCAGAATTTGGCGCGGAACAACCTGGTTAAAGAAGCTAGGAAGCTTTTCAATGCGAAAAAGGCAAGAGTTTCTCGAAGTTCGACCATTTTGTGGTTTCTCGCGCTAAACAGCTTCATAACTTCTTTAACCTAGTCGCTGCGCTTCGAAAGCAGATTCGGGATCGGCGTAAAACTCTCCACGGGATAAGCTTTGTGTCTGAACTCGATTGTCGCTAAAAACGTCTCGTTGTAAACTGATTTTCGCCAAAGGCGCGGGTCGGAAGCGAAAACCCCAAAAAGAACATTTCAATCGATTAATCATCTATTTCAAGGTTAGACCACCGACTAAAACAGAAAAGCCGTTTTTCGAGGACAAAAATTTAGCAAAAACGAACGTACGACGTGCAAATCGGTTTTTTACTCAAACTCACCAATCGCCCCGTTCAACCCATTTCCGCAATTTTGACTTTTTCATTTTCAAGAAAAACGAATAAGAATTGTAGTAGCGGCAGGGGGGAAACGGCCGGGCAAATCCACCTGAAAAATTCAAAAAGTTGAGCAAAAATCGAAAATGAAATGGGAAATTTCCGGGGGAATCCGGGCCAGAGAATAAAAGTCCGTGATTTGTATTGTCGCGTTGTAATCGATCACAATAAAAAAGATCGACATTTTTATACAAATAAACAATAACAATAAATCGTAATAAAACAGGTAAAATAAGCGTTAATAAATAGAAAATAAGTGGCATTTCGAATTGTTTGAAAGGGGCGCCAGGGGCTACGCACTTCACTCGGGGGCGAGACATCACCGTCTGGGCAGAGGGATGAGACGGCCCGACGGAATGGCTGTTTATCCCGGCTTGAGCAAAACACTTTCAGTTTCTTACGTCAGTTTCATCACTTAGAAGCTTACAAAATCCATTATATCAGATTTATGGGATCATTTAACGAAATCTAGAGTTCCCTATTTTTCGCACCTCGTTGGCTGGGTCGAATTGGCTTATTTTTACTTCAGAAAATGCTATATTTTGAAAAATTATCTTTTCTTACACCAATTTGATTACAAAATTCGTTATATTTCATTTATAAACTATTTAACGAAATCCAAAGTCCCTATTTTGTCGTTTTTGTCAACTTATTCTTTTACTACGGTTGAAATAGTTTCTTTTTCTAAACGTCTACGCGCTTAATATAATTTTAGAAGCACGATGGCCGACGAATGGGCAGCGCAAATGTTCGCCAACTTCATGGGCGCCCCCTTCCAAGAGCTCACCAAGGATTTCCAGAAATTTGAAACGTCAGTTTTTCAGTTCTAATTTACTTCCGGGATCCAATTTTCCGCCCCATAAGTGCAAAAATACATGGTAACGTTGTAGCACGTATTAATGGCCTGTTTAGTAAAATTTAGCGAGCTTTTAAGTGGACAAGCAATTCAGAAAACGTGGAAAACGTTGAAAAAGCTTTAATTTTTGGCGTTTTTCATGAAAATTGTGATGTTTTACCGCCTAGAAAAGTAAGAAACAGTGTAAAAAACTTCCTATAGCTATATTAGCAAAAAAAATATGATTTTCAGGCTGTTCCTGAGGCCCTACTTTCGACAACTCCCCTTCGATGCCCAGCTGACGATGGGCCAGGGCTGCGGCGAGGTCGAGAACACGTCCGACGCGTTCAAGATGAAAATCGACGTCTCGCAGTTCATGCCGCAGGATTTGGAGGTGATTTTACTTTTCTAAAACTTTGATTTACCTTTGGAATCATCTGATATCGCTCATGTCTAGGTGAAACTGCACGGCTCGCAAGTGATCGTCGCCGGCACGCAGGAGGAGAAGCCCGATCAATACGGGACAATTCAGAGGTGCGTTTTTGGGCTTGATTTGCAGAACAATCGTTTTTAGGTCGTTTGTCCGAAAAATCGACCTGCCCTCCGGTGTGCATATTGATGGGCTACGGACGTATATTGATGGAGATGGCGTGTTGTCGGTGAGTTGTTGTGGCATAAACTGTTAGAGCAATTAAAAAGAAGACTGGAAAATTCTAAAAAATCAATTTTCCATTTCTAACTCTACCTTTTCCAGCTCGAAGTGCCGAAACGAGCCCAACTCCCACCCGGCGACGGCCGCAAGATCCCGATCGAGCTGACGCGAGACTGAACAAAAAGCCCAGGAATAGTCAGATATTTGCGTAGATCTTTCTATTAATAAACTTTTTTGGTTTACGCGTTCTCGAGAGTGTGGGCATCACACATCTTCAGTTTAGCGCCAGAAATGGCCAAAGTTCCGCTAATTGACTGGGAATTAGGGAAGAAGCGCCCGCTCCACAGCCATAAAATCACAACAGCTTGCGGCACGAAAAGCCGGGGTCTTGGGTCAGAACACGCGCTAGCGCTCATTCACGCGCCCGTCGTTTTGAGTTGGACCTTGGCTTTTCGAAATGTGTCTTCGTGACGGTCGTCTAACCGTACCGACCGCGTTGCTGATCATTGCCACTGGAGGCTGCTTCCTGGCCGCTGGGCTGCTGACCTATGCCGTGTTTTCGGTGAGTTTTTGAGGCTTTTCGTAAGATATAACTGCGTGTACTGGATCGTTATCGGAGGGAAAACCTATTATTATGATTATATTTTTTTCGTCCATTGTTTTTATAACTTTCTAGCACTCAAAAACTACTAAAATCACTAAAAATATTATAAAAAGGCAAGATTTATGATTAACAGTCGGAAAAATCAATATAAAAGTATATTGAAGCGATTCCAGCTGTTTCTAAACGTTTATGCTTCTTTCTGGTAACGTTTTTTGACTTTGACAAAAAGCTGAATTGCTAAAAACTTGACATAGTTTTCGACCTATTAGTTTCAGACAAATTTGCCAAAAATCCGTGAAAAAGCAAAAAAAGCCTCGAAAATTTACCTTTAGGCGATTTTTAAATTACTTTTTTTGCCTAGCTACGCACCCTGCCCCCCGATAACGATCCAGTACCTATCACTCGCGTTTCCAGGCGTCATTCCGGATTCTTGACGACGGCCGGCATCTGCACTCTTTTGGCCTGATTCGATATTGTAAAGGTGGGCGCGGAGATCTGAAAAATCTAAAAAATCTATCTAAAAAAAGTATTCTAATGATCTAAAATCTTTAGTCTCGCAACTTACGGAGAGCGCCGTGCAATGCTATTCACGGGAAATGCAGAAGCCGGGCATCGAACCGGCGGCAAAGCATCTGATTATAGCTCGTAAGCTAGCCAGCTTCAATCTGTCTGCACCTTTCCTTTAGAAAGTGAGCTGATGGTCTTGGTAGCATTAGTGTTGGCGATGCACATGGGACTCCTGGCTTCTGTGGCCAGTCTGCTGGCTTTTTGTTCGAAGATGTGCGCACGGTTGAGCCGGATCTTGATGCTGATGGCAGGTGGGGGTGTTGTGCATAGCAGGGCGTGCTAGCAGAGGTCATTTGCGGAACACTGGGTTAATAGTCGAGACGGTGCTGTTCTATTTCGGGGGAAACTGTGGGGGGAATGTTCCTCGGTTTGTTATAACTCTTTTATATGATGCTATTTTGAGTTGTAATTAAAACTCTTAGTATATTTTTTGACGCTCTATCGAATGGCATAAAAGGAATTTTTGAAAAATATCGAAAATGTCGAAAACTAGCTATCGACTCCACGGTCCCATGTGGAAACACCGTATAAACCTTGTTTTTGCTATAACTATTTTATAAAACAATATTTTTAGATGAAATTAAAACTCTTAGTATATTTTTTGATGCTCTATCGAATGACGAGTTCAAAATATCGAAAAACTGGCGAAAATGCCGAAAACTAACATTTCGGCACCAGTTTTAATAGTTTTTTGTTTTGTTTTTGCTGTAACTTTTTTATATTACAATATTTTTAGCTAAAACAAAAACTCTTAGTATATTTTTTGATGCTCTATCGAATGGCGTTGCAAAAATCTCGAGAAAATAGCGAAAAGATAGAAGTTTTGGCGAAGCATATTTTCCCCCGCACAGTTCCCCCCCCCCCCGCGTAATAGAACAGAACCGTCGAGACGAACCTTTAGGAGCCTGCACGTTCCTGGGTGCAATGCTGTTCGTCCACGTTGCGACGTCGTTGAACGAGGCGAATTTCGGCGGAAAATCGTCGAAAGTAGAAGTGCGTATCTTATAGTTTTCTTTTTACATCGTTTTTTCTTCATTCAGGCCCGTTTTGGACCGGCTTTTGCGTGGTGTCTCCTCGCTGGTTCCGCCTTTCTGCTATCGCTTCTGATCTCCTTGGTGTCGACGCTGGCTGATGACGAGGTAACGCAAAAATTAGACCTTTCTAAAAAATATCAAAACGTGGTCGAAAACCAAGAATTTTTTTAGACAGATCTTCTACAAATCCCGCTATCGCGCGCCGGCACGATCAGCGAGTTTCCGCGCAAGATCTCGCGCCGGATGAACGCCATCCGGCGCCCGTCGCAAGCCCACGTGGAGCATCACCGCCCGGAGGAGACCACGCTGCTTCCACAGGACGTTTGAGCGCGGGAAGCGCCCTCGCGCTGGCGATTCAGCGACTCGTGAATGCCCTTTTTTAGATGAGAAAGCGCGAAACGTTCTGCGCGGGCCATGTTATCATGTTATCAAGTTTCTTTTTCAAATAAATAAACAAATCAGCAAATCGTTACAAAATGACGGCCAGCGTGGAGCGCACTCGCGAGTATTGGCTATAAAGTTACCAGTTTGTTCAAATAATTTGAGACAAACTCATTTTTATTTTATAAAAAACGCGGCCAGCGCGAAGCGCTCTTGAAGCCGGGCTGGAGATGAGGGGCCAGTTCGTCTTGTTCAAAGCGTTCGTACCAAATTTCCTTTTTCCTAAGAAAAAAAGAATAGCCAGCGCGGAGCGCTAGTGGGCAACCTCAGCTTTTTGTAATTCTTCTCTTTTAGTATCGTTGGTGATGAATTCGCTTTTCCCCTAAAGAAAACGCGGCCAGCGCGAAGCGCTTTTGCGCGGAGTTGTCTAGTTTTTTTTATGCATTTTCTTTCCGCAATAATCGTAAATCGTTAATTCCCAAATATTTATCGACCAGTTTTGGGGCACCATATTCCAAACCGCAACTATTCACAGCTCCAAAAAAAACACACACGCACAAACTCACGCTCAAAAACTCAACAAGCAGCACGCAAAAATAGCATAAACCCAGAAAAAGCATTTTGTACACGCATTGCCGGAAGTAGGGGAGGAGGAGGAGGCTGTTGACCGGTATCAAAATGAAATTCCACCACAAATGCACACTGCAGAAAACGTTATAAGTACCGAAATGTACAGAGCACACGCGCGTACGCGTCGAAAGCGAAGGCCAGGATATCCCGAAAAAATGACAATTGGCTAGATGGACCCGATTCGCAAACAAATTCCTAATAAGTTTGGCCATTTTTGAGGTTTAAATGACTATAATTAAAAGTTGAAATCAAATAAAAGGAACAATAAACATGTAAGGCAGAAATATTGTGGTTTTCTTTCTCGTGGCACCCGGTTTTTCAAGTATAACAACTCAAAATTCCTCATTTTTGTCAAAAGTCCGGATATCCACTGAATAAACCCGACAAAGTGACCCTGGATTTCCCGGCAAAAAACCGGTTACGCCCTGTAAATGGCGTTTAAAGGAAAGTAGCGTTTAGATGGCGTAACCGGTTTTTCAAGGGCTAGTGAAGTGGGATCGGCCTGAAAAAATCACCCTAATTTCCCCAATAAACCGGTTACGCCTTGTAAATGGCGTTTAAAGGAAAGTAGCGTTTAGATGGCGTAACCGGTTTTTAAAGGGCTAGTGAAGTGGGATTGGCCTGAAAAATCACCCCAATTTGTCCAATAAACCGGTTACGCCCTGTAAGTCGCGTTAAAAGGAAAGTAGCGTTTAGATGGCGTAACCGGTTTTTCAAGGGCTAGTGAAGTGGGATTGGCCTGATAAAATGATCCTAGTTTTTTTGTAAGCCGGTTACGCAATAAAAACCGTATAAAATTCAATGTTTAGGTGGCGTAACCGGTTTTTCAAGGGCTAGTGAAGTGGGATCGGCCTGATAAAATTTACCCAGTAAACCGATTACGCCCTATAAATTGCGTTAAAAGGAAAGTCGCGTTTAGGTGGCGTAACCGATTTTTAAAGGACCGTTGAAGTGGGATCGGCTGATCATGAAAAGGCAGTTAAATAATAATGAAAACGAACGACATAAAAACATACGAAAACATCCTTAAACACGGGGATTCCGCTTCTTTAGGCGATTTACCCGAGCGGCTCGAGAACCGCGAATTCTCGCCGATTTTCCGGAATTCCGCCGGCTTCTGCCCTCGTCAGTGGCACGCTCTTCGTCGGTGGGACTCTGAAAATTTTAGGGTTTTAACGCGTTTTCCGCAAGGGCCACCGCTGGTTTGCCATGATTTTCTGAACACCTACCGCCGGTCGGGCTTCGATGACATCGGTGAGGTAGACGTCGGGGAGCAGCTACATGGTGGTGCTCCTCGTGACGAGGCGCACGGAGCCCGGGGTTTCTTTGATGTTCTAAAGCGTCGTGGATTTAGTGAGTAAAATTTTAATATAATTTTTTTGAAAATTAGTTAACTTTTTCTAAAAAATTAATTTGTAAATTTTCTATCGATTTTTATAAAAAATTAATAATTTATACTGGTTTAATCTTAATTTATAGTAACATAAAAAGTTTTTTTTTAATTTTCTTTAGCTTACCTGCTCAAAAGCGATCAACTGGCGCCAGAATCCAAGGTTCGGCCTGACAAGCGGGCGCTTCATTTTCATCAAATGGTAAGCGTCACGTAGCGAACGGCAGTGGTATCTAAATAATTTAATTTAGAGGTTAAATTACGGGTATTCGAGCTCGGTGCAGAAAATTGGAAGCTCGTGCTCACTTTGTAAGGTAGGCCAGGACGATGGAGGCCGAGCGGGATACCCCGGCTACGCAATGCACTAAAACACGGCTGCCGTCCTCGATGATGGCGCGCGATCTGGAAGGGCGTGACGGGTTATATTTCTAAATCTATTT